ATGCTTAGATCTGTAACGTTACATTACACGCGAATGCTCCCGGTGATGGAGGGAGCACCTTTAAATATTTCTATCAATAATAAAAAGTATATAACGGTGAACAGTTACTAAACAGAATTTGAGAAAGAAATCTCATATAATATGAAATTATAATATTATGAAATTACAGCATTTAGTTCCGCTAGCCTGCAATACATCAATTTGTTCCGCATACTAAGATGTAATCGATAGCTCTGCTGACGGCGATACACCCACTCAGATGAAAATGCAACGATGCTATTTTCCTGACGAGGAAATTGATTTATGTTACATAAGAAAATTAGTAGTTCTAACTTTTTTTACCTATTTATCATTAACAGACTGTTTAGCCATTTGGTCTCTGGTTTATTAGAGAGCACTACTGCCTGGTCCCTTTGTCTGCGCTTATGGCATTTGCGGGTAGGGGAGAGATAGACAAATGTATTCACCTCAGCCGTCAACCATAAAGATACGATGACCTATACCTATTATCTATATTACCTGTCGCGGAGAACCTAACGGGTAACCGGGGCTCCGGCTCGACGTGCCGGAGAAGGAACGGGGTGGTTTTTAGTCAGTAAGAGTCTGACACTCCCTTCCGCCTCACCCAGGCGGGAGCAGTCATTCGATGATTTTCCCCCCTTAAAAAAAAAAATCTGTTTTACCTACGTAATAAATAAAGCGAATATGCTGACCTAGTTTTCAGTTAGTCAATTTTCCAGGCTCTAATATTCGTAGACACGATCTTTAATATCTATTCCATATCTCTCACAATACAATAAGACAAAAGGATAAATCAACCTTTTACATCGCCAAAACCAGAAACATCCTACTAAACATCTAATTAAATTATACGGAGAAGGCACTCAGACGTTCACTGAAGATATTTGCACAGATCGCGTGGGTCTTAAAATAGCAAAGCTGATAACTTTATGATTTTACTCGCGTGGGCTGGCTGCCTACACTCCTGTGTCCCATTAACTGTGTCTTTAGTAAACGATTATTTACCTTTAACACGTTAATCTCTACTTCCTTACTTAGTAACATAACATTAACATAACATCACGCCTTTTATCCCCGAAGGGGTAGGCAGAGGTGCACATTATACCACTGTACAATGTAACACCCATTTTTCACAATTTATGTTATTACTTATTAGTCCCATGTAATAGGGGGTGAGCCTATTGCCATATACCGGGCACAATTCCAGACTCCGTGCTACTACTGAGAATTTTGAAAAAACCCAGTAATACTTTGCCCGACTCGGGAATCGAACCCGAGACCCCTTGCCCGGCAGTCGCACTCGCAACCACTCGGCCAACAAGGCAGTCATTACTTAGCCTTAATTATAAAGACAGGTATTTGTTATTCTTGTTTAAACGGTTGCACTAATTTCCATGTGTTTGGTAGTTTTGTAAAAGAATACGCACTTAGAAATCTAGATTTTTAAATAATATCCTACCCGTTTCTAGGTGCGTGTTCCATATAAAGTCTTGTGTTCCATGTAAAATTTTTATTAAAGATTATAATAGTGGGATTAAACATAAAGTTCTAAATTTTTATCCAATTTGTACGCAACGTTTTAGCAGCCGGCATGGCAGCATTTTCAATGGCAACTGGATCTTATCACATGTCAAGGGATCCATCAAAAAAGAGATTCAAGAACTTTTATGTATTCAAATACAAAAAGTTTAATAATGGCATGTTCCTCTTTGTATGGGTAAAGCCGGATACAATAACTAGCTGTAATGAGAGCATGAATAGGGGTCGTTGAAAGGACAGATGGACCGGTGACCCCTTTAGGGTTAAACCAGTTATTGGTGCAAATATTGGATGTTTTATTTAGAAAGGTGAGTGCACCATTTAGTGATTTTGTTCCGTGTAGCTGGGCTCTTAAATTACAATTGCCAATGGTTTACATCATGGTATACAATTGGGATGATGACAAGGTATGAAAATTAAAAATCGAATTAGTCCGAAGTTAGGTAATGAAAAAATATTAGACACGTATTTTTTTATTTTGTCGTATAATAAAACAATACTTAGATAAAACGAATCAAAGTTTAGGAGTGGGGGTCAAAACGTCATTTCTATATATAAAATGTTCATAGAAGTGACGTCACGCGACATTTCAAATCAATATATCGTCGAAAGTTTTCGTTTCTGTGAGAAAATAAAAAATATGTGTCTAATGATTTAAAATAATCTACAACACGGACATTGAAATAAAAATTAAGCATCTACCCTATTCCAGACTCCTATGTAAGTAGTTTACGAAAATTTTCGATATCATAAATCTAAGATTCTGCGAACTTCTTTCACAGACTTGGAAATCCTCAAGACCCTTTCGGTAGTTTACTCGATCAACATAACATAACATAACATCACGCCTTTTTATCCCCGAAGAGGTAGGCAGAGGTGCACATTTCGGCACTTAATGCCACTGTACAATGTAACACCCACTTTTCACTATTTATGTTATGAGTCCCATGTAATAGGGGGTGAGCCTATTGCCATATACCGGGCACATTTTTCCAGACTCCGTGCTACTACTGAGATTTATAAAAACCCAGTAATACTTTGCCCGACCCGGGAATCGAACCCGAGACCCCTTGCCCGGCAGTCGCACTTGCGACCACTCGGCCAATGAGACAGTCTACTCGAGGCAGTTTACTCGATCAAGAGACAGCATAATAAAATCTAATCATAACAAACTTACATTTCCCTACAACAGCAGTCGCATTTGCCACCAATAAATCAATAAAAGAAATGGTCATAATATTGCAAACTAGAAAAAGAACTAATAGCACCAACTACCTAACGTCTATTAAGTTATTAGCGTATAAAATATTAACGGTTTACGGTACCGGTGGTTATTGATTATGCAGTTGAAGTACTGTCACAATATCATATACCTATACTGTATAGAGAAATGGCTTGCAATGCCATGACATTGCTCTATTTGCTTCGAGACCCGAGAACTAATGCGCACGCTGTTCTAGGCCGACGGCATTGGACGTAATGCGTCCTGAAGGGCTCAAATATTAATGTAACCGGAAGATTGCTTCTTTATCTTATTTCAGAGACATTGTTCTTAAAATTATTAAGTTTTCTCTCTTTCTTAGAGGTTTATATAATAGGGTAGATGCCTAATTTTTATTTTAATGTCCGTCTGGTAGATTATTTTATATCATTAGACACGTATTTTTTAGTTTCTTACAGAAACGAATACTTTCGACGATATATTGATTTGAAATGTCGCGTGACGTCACTTCTATGTACATTTTATACGTAGAAATGACGTTTTAGCCCCCACTCCAAAACTTTTATTCGTTTTATATAAGTATTGTTTTATCATAAAAAATACGTGTCTAATATTTTTTCATTACCTTACTTACGGACTAATTGTATTTTTAATTTTCATACCCTGTCATCATCCCAATTCCTGTGCGTGGGTATCGCAGTTCGAGAGGTCGGTCACTACACTATAGATGTGATACTGTCCGTCTTTGGGTGAGACGGAATTTTAAGAAATAACCTAAATGTTTACCTACTTAATTGAATATCACGGAATCAAATCTAGAATTCTAAATATAGATAAAAAATTCACAACCACCAGAATCTAGAGACTAGACTTTAGTGATTGCATAGAAAATTAAATTTAAATAGGTAGACGGGCGGTTGAATCTCTGCGTTGTAACTTGATGAGTTGCCGAAAGGCAAATTGTAGGCAACATGTTAAATGACTTAACTAGATTGAATCAACAAAAAATAGACATTAGACAGGTGAAGTGTGTAATTTGTATCTTACAGAGTCCATTTTTATTGAGATAAACAAAAACTTTTTGTTGTGTGATATACCTAATGGTGTATTTAAGTTAGTATCAGGCGATTTGTTATTTTGAATTATTTTGTGTATATAAGGTACTGGATCTTTCAATGATAGAAGCTGTATATACCTACCTACCTAATTTTTTGTCTGAGGATAAGGCCTTATTTATAACTAGTTTCTGCCAGCGGCTTCGCCCGCGATCCCAGGGGTAAAATGCCTATGTATCACTTCAGACCATAATCTACCTCTGTTCCGAATTTCATTCCGGTCCCTTCAGTCGTTTTAATATGACTGAGTAACAAACATACACATAAACTCACATATTTTCATTTTTAATATCGAGTCAAGGTAATTTCAACCATTGGCCTTTCAGTTACAGCGTAAAGTCTATGAATCAGTATTAGTAAACGTTAGAGTAGACAAATACAATCAGAAATCACCGAATTGCTAAGCTATCGGGAGTTTCACGTGTTATTGTGAGTCAACCATAAAAGATAGACATATGATGTCGAGGAATATTTTTTATATAATTTTAAGGAGAATATTTCCGTCATACATGATTTCTATGCAGCTTTAACCTATAAGCCTGCACACGCGACGGAAGCTTAAAAAATGGAGTAACTTCTCCCGTTTTCCCAATATTTCCCTTCACTGCTCTGCTCCTATTGATCGTAGCGTAATGAAAAGTATACTATAACCTGCCCAAGAGTATGAAGAATAATTGTGCCAAATTTCGTTAAAATCCGTCGAGTAGTTTTTGTTTCCATAACGAACATACAGACAGACAGACAGACAGACAAAAATTTTACTGATTGCATTTTTGGCATCAGTAGCGATCCCTAACCACCCCTTGATAGTTATTTTTTAAATATATTTTATGTACAGAATTGACCTCTCTACAGATTTATTATAAGTATAGATATAGATAAGGAATGATATGAATTTTCCGTAATAACGATAAAATGGGTTCAATTATTTCAAAATAATGCCGTTAAAATAAAATATTTTGCTACCTATAAAATTCATTATTTTTTGTTAGACATTTTCATCAAGACGGCAAATTCTTGGAATGTATTTACTAAGAAAATATAATCGATCAATTATTGTTTTTCTTACGTGCTTAAAATATTATGTCTATCTTTACAGAATCATGGAGGAGACAGACTGCATCAGCAGATTCTTCAATATGGAAGAAAATACTACATCTCTTAGCCCAAGAATCCTACCAAAAGCGTTTTCACCGAGCAAAAGCTTGGACTCGTCGCAAGACCTGAGCCAGGCGTCTATAGAATCAGAAGAGCTCAGTCTATCACAACTAACTATAGAAGAACAAGAACCGCTAGATATACAACCTTTTTTCAACATCACACCAAGAGCAATGCCAGTGTCACCACATTATGTAATCGAAGAAGAGTTTTCATCAAACCCCTGGGCGATGTTAATAGCAACAATTTTCCTAACTAAAACTTCGGGAAAAACCGCCAGGCCCTACATAAAAACATTCTTCGCAGAATATCCAACACCTTATCATGTTTTAAGTGACACGCCATTATCTTTAGAAAGGTTCTTTGATAACTTAGGATTAAGGAAAAGAGGTCATATGATATGGAAGCTCAGTTATCAGTTTGTTTCTTCAAAATGGCGACGAGCCAGTGACTTATGCGGCATTGGTAAATACGGCGAGGATGCTTACAGGATATTCTGTCTGGGTCACACGGATGTAGACCCTACCGACAGGTATTTAAAGTTGTATTTAGATTGGTTGTGCGGCCACACTGAGTTTTTGGAGGAAAGCGGCGCTGTAGACAGTGAATATCTAATTGAAGATCCGATTATGAAGTATTACAGAATTACATTGAATTGAGAGATGAGAATTCGATTTCTGTGTGATAAATATAAAAGTTTTCTTGGAAGTAACGCTAACGTTGATGTCGAATAACTTTAGTATCTTGTGTTAATGTTTGTGTTTGTTTTAGTTAACTGTGTCAGGTGTTTTTATTTGTTTTATGTCTGTTACAGGTAGGTACTTAGTATGAATCATGCGTTATATAATCTATGTATCATAATAATAAAACTGAAATTAGTAAAAGTATTATAAACTTGAATATTGTTGAAGATGATAATTATGTGTTGATACTAACTCAAATGGTTATTAAATACTTATTTTTATTTTTATGATTTGTTTTATTGCGACAAAATTATAATAAATACGTCAAATATTTTATAGTGAAGGGGGAACGGTCCCCCCCCACCCGGACGTGGTGGACTAAGGGGAAGGAGGCCTGTGTCCAGCAGTGGACGTCTTTCGGCTGTTGGTGAGGTTGATGATGATGTCAAATATTTAGTTAGACTCTATAATGTCCACATAATGCATATGTATGCTAATGATTTATTTGTTTGTGAAATAAAACTGAGCATTATCTTCTTCTTCTCTGTCGTTTCGCTCTTGGCAGCGGTCGTGGTCACGTTGAGGCGGCCGTATTTGTGTTGGGAGGCCAATACAGCTTTCCTCAGAATCTCCCGCCATCTATTATCCTTACTAATATTATAAATCGGAAAGTGAGTTTGTTTTTTTGTTCCGACTTCACGCCGTAAGTACTAAACCGATTGCATTGAATTTTTTTTAATAATAGGGTACTTTTTATCCCGAAAAAAATTGATATTCCCGAGGGAAAACAAAAGTATTGGTATAGATGGCGCTGTATGTATTGGTATATGTCACATAGGCTACTTTTTATCCGTTTGTGACGCGAGCGAAGCCGCGGGTAAAAGCTAGTTTATCAAATAAAACCAGCACAAACAAAATAAAAATGAATAAAATAGAAATGAAATGAATTACCCAAGCATTAATTTATATGTTCTGTGCATTAAGTACTGTCTAGTTAGTTTATTAGTGTCTCGTTTGGACAGGGTACTTAGTAAGTTTCGCAATTCTATTATTAAGCAAATGTTTACATAATTGGATCATTAGTTAAATTGTCATTTTGATGAGTAATTTTTATGCAAAATAATACCACGAGATTTGTGGTAACTAGTAAGTACCTACTCCATGGTTTTTACAATTTTTGACTGTCTGTCTGTCTGTTTGTACTGGCTAATTAGTTAAAGTTATGTTCTAAAATTCATATTTTACGCGGTCGAAGTCGCGGGCAACTAGCTAGTCATATTTAGTAGTCATGGATTTTATGATTTTTTTATGGAATTGCTCATTTGCTCTAATAAGATTATTTGTCTTATCTTTTTTCTGTAGGTATGTACTATATTATTAATGGTGTACAATAAAATTTACTACTATTCTATTCTATTATTTGTGGAAATAATTTATTAACTAAAAACCGAGCTTTTCTCACGTAAAAATAATAAGAAAAGCTCTATTAGTTTCGAAATAATTATTTTTTTCTAGAAAAAGCGACCTTATTGTGTAAGTTATGTTTGACTACTATGATTACTTGGGACTTGGGAGGATATGAAATCATATGCTTATTATTCAATCACAGTTCCACATTACCTCAAAGAACCTCTGAGAACCAATAATCTGTTTTAATTAACTAAATAATCGCAGGTTACTCACGTGAATATAATGAGAAAAATCCCTGCTGCATCGCCGCGACCGTGCACGCTGCTCATGAGGAAGAACCCCTCTGTGGTTCGAAACTAGTAGAGCTTTTTTCAGTAAATTCAAGTGAATAACCCGTGATTTTTTGTTAATTTAGTATGTCTCACGATAGTTATTATACATCTGTTTTAACTTTCATCGACTCGGGTTTAGAAACCAATAAAAAAATGTATAACAATTTAATTATTTCAATACGCCTGCCATAAAAATGAAAGCAATGCAATGGTCATGTCACATATTGCTAAAGCAACTTTCGTTACAATAACGTATAATACTCCTTTTTTAATTTTAGTCTTTAGTTTTACAGAGAGTGGTTTATTAGTATTAGTAGTTTTAAGTCCTTAATTTATTTTGTTTTTTGGAATTTGTTAAATATTTTTAAGTTATGATGGAACTACTGACTAAAAACCACCCCGTTCCTATTCGTGCACTTCCAGCTGGAGCCCCGGCAGGCGTCAACCCGTTACGTCTTCCGCGGCTCCGTATCGGCATCAGCCCCCAGGCTGGGCCCCCATCTGTGGTGGTCTGATTGCTTCTTGAGGCGCGCGCGGAACGCGACGCGCCGTACGCTCGGGCCTGGTTCTGTTGTGCCCGGTATATGGCAGTAGAACCTATTACAAGGGACTCATAACATAAATAGTGAAAAATAGGTATTCAAATTTACATTTGAAATTGTACTTACGTACACTGTACTTACGTACAGTGGCATTTAAGTACCGTAAATTACACCTCAGCCAACTCCTTCGGGGATAAAAGGCGTGATGTTATGTTATGTTGTCAAAAATTATTTTCGGCAATAAAGTACAGTTAGTTTGACATTTTATAATAACGTAGGTCCTCTTATGTCGCCCTCAACGTCGCGTCGGCGTGCAAAAATAATGTAGGTAGTTACAAAATTATCAAAATTATGTTACAATGCTTTTAATGCTGTCCCCAAGAAAAAAAATACTTAAAAAGTAGGGACAATTTAAAAGTTATGTTATGTTACAGGATTAATGTAAATACCTTAAAATTGATATTTATAGGACATTTACACAATGTCCTATAAATACCAATTTTTTCATAAATGTCACACATAATATTATTACCATAAAATAAATTATATAAATTAATTATAGGAATACCTAATTAAAGCAGATATTGAAATTTGAATCCGTAACCTTTGTGTTTTTTAGACATCAGGTATTATTAATAGGATTGTTACTAAAAGTGGTTTGATATTCTAACACATGGTTCTTAATAACTGGCAACTGATAAGCCAACAACAAAAGAACAACTGTATTTTAATATTGTGGTGTTGCCATAAACCACATTAATTTTGAGAGATATTTTTAAACAGTTTTAAATCTATTGTACCATTTTTGATATAATAATTCTGAATATTAATTTGTTTTAGACCTAATAACTTATAAGAAAGATATTGGAATTTAACATACACTGTCGCCACTTTCCTTAACTTAAAAAAAAACTATGATTTAATAAAAAAATCTTCAGTAGGTTTTATTAAAGTTTTATCAAAACGAAATGATTAAACGCGATTCTTATATAAAATTAAATTAGAATTTACTTGAAAATACATAATAAATTAATAATTAACACGCATGCTTTATTTTAAGGTACTAATTAGCCAATTAGAATTATTTTGTCACAAAAGAAGGACGTAGGTAATTCGTGAAGTGTTAATTTTTTTTTTTAAATACTAAATAATATGTAAAAAGGTAAACTTGGACTTTCTACAGCTGTGGTTTAGCGTATCATGCGACCCACTCAAAAAATCAATATTTTAAAGCAACAAAAATGTTAATCCATATTCGTTTTTGAAACTGCCAACAGTTTTTTAAAGTCTAAATACTGCTTAGTTGTCCAATGCAACTCAGGATTTTTTAATTTCATAATTTATTGAAAACTTAGGTGTAAATTAAATATCTAGGAATTTTCAAGTAGAATTTTAGCCTGAATAAAGTATTAGGTATTATTAAATTGATCTAGATTTGTTTAGGTAAGTACTTTAATTCACTATTCAACAAAAAGATCTGAAAAATAAATACCTAACTTTTAATTTTAATTGACTACTTCATCTTTCATAACAACCTCGACAGCACAACAGTATTTTATACGCTCAAATCGATACAAAGGCTATTTGTATTATGATCAAAAGAGAGGAATAATATCTAAATGTTTCTTACAAAATACCGAGTAACTACCTACCTAATATTTAAATTTTATTTAAATTTTTCAAAGGGTTATGTAATTAAACTTCTATTGATATCAGGTTAAGATAATAAAAAAAATAACCCAGTATCAAATACACTAACGACCTCAACTTAGTAATATCATCATCATTATTACATTAGTAAATAACATATTAGCAAATTAATACACCCTCTATAATTCAAATAGTAGGTAAGTACTACGCAAGGAAGTACTTACGTGTACCCCACAGTACCTACTGAACGTATTAGTGTAACGCAGCCGCCGTTTGCTTCGGTCTGAAGTTCTACGCGTGTCAATACCTGCTTACCTATTCAGTTTTTATCAAAATCATTTTATTAAATAATAAAGTATTGACTTCGTTGGATTGGTATTACATAAAATAGTATACGATTTGTTGACTATTTCATAAATTGGTAGTTTGGCTTTGAACTGAACCAAAATAATTTTGTTTCTTAGTTTTTTTCGATCAATATTAGTTTTTTTGCTTATTTATATCAGTTTTGTAACGAAATATGATATATCAAAATATTTCCACAATATAACTTTTCATAAATAAATATTAGCTAAGACAAATTAATTTTACGATGTTTTGAACGTTCGCGCCATCTTCGTTTCATAAATAAACCAATAGGGCATTTCACGCGGTACCAACCTACAGTATTATACCGGAGTGATTGCTCGCCGCACGGTTGGCAGCAGTGTCGACTATTGCAAATGGTGGATTGCGTTACTTTTTCTCGTGCTCCGTGTAAAATATTTACGTAAAATAGTGTTAATTTCGTGAAGCAGTGTTTCTGACTAATATAAACATGTCGGAAACACTGCCGAATAACAAAAAACAAGTTCCAAGACAGCTGGTGAGTGTTTATTGTTAGATTTTTACGTATTTAGTCCCGGGTGACGCCATGGTGGCTTTATCTGGGATCACGTAAACATGAAATGGTGCATCGCTGCATCGTGTATCGATTTACGAAAGTTACGGGATGAGAATAGTAATATTTTTGTGAATGTGCTTTTTGTGTGTGATGATAGTCATTGAGGGTCATCGGACTTAGTTTTTTGTGATCACGCCGCGGCCGAGTTTAAAACGCGGCGGCCGTATGCATTCGCGCATGCGAGATGGTGTCAAAATCTATAATAGTTCCGGAGATCGCAGCATTGCGATTCAGCGGCGATGATAATGAGCGACGTGACAATAAATTGCGCGCGCCATCGACGTCTTCGGCGCACAAAACATTGTGGGCATCTGGTAGGGACCGAGGCAGCGAATGTCGAAGGCGTTTCCCTCCCGCGGGCTGGCGGAGAGCAGGCGGCCAGGGGCGTGCGCGCTGCGCTGCGGCCACACGTCGAGCCCGACTCCGCTCGGTGCTCGCGAGCAATCTACTTTATTACTTGACTAATCTTCCGTCGAACAATTACACGCTGGGCGATAGTCGATCGTCTAAAACACTTGCATATTGATTTAAAATAGGATACGACACGTTTGTTGAGTGACCAAACTCGCCGAACGTTCTTTGTTATGTTGAGACGACAAACAGCCCTCGCATCAAAAGTTTTATTGTCACAAGTTAGGTTCACTTATTCTTTTACTCTTTTTTATTGGCCTTGTCTATAAAAAGTAACCTACTTCGTAAAGTGAGACGAATAAGTCTAGCAGATACATTTTTTTGTACTCAATAGGGAAATTCATCCACGAAACTTGTCTCAGAAAATGTGTTAAAAAGTGAAAGTCACTAATCACTTCAGCGCGCCGTATTGTCAACTTTTCTATCTGAGTAGATTTTACTGAAAAGACAAGCTTAAACTCAAAAAAATATTGTTAGACATACAGCAAAATGAATGGAGTTCTTATATTTCATGGTGTTTACTACACCAAAATGTAATTAATGGCAATTATTAATTAGAGATTAGATTAGGCTGGTTTGCCAACATACATCAATAGTCATTATTTTGTAGGAGATTGTGTTCAGTTTTATTTGTGTGGTAGTAATTTATAGCCTTGCCATACAATAGTTACCTGTGCAGTATACAAGGCATTACTTGTGTTATGTAATTGTGTATTTTCACTTCCAATTTCCTGCCAAAACAAACATTAAAATAGAGATAAGTCTAATTTGAAACTGTTAACATTAAAATCTTAAAATTTTCTAGAACTAGCTAATTTAACTTTCACCGTTTGGTTAGTAAATATTTTTTATATTCTCTCTAGCGTGAAAGGAAGCAACGCAAGCTTTACTCTGATGAGTGGGCCCTGGGCGATGATGAAGCTGAAGGTGGCCGGGGCTTCTCTCTGGCTGACAAGCTGGAGAGCCCTAGATTCGAGCACACCGGTGCTGTTCTGGAGATGCATGGGGCTGACCTGACTGTGTCCTACCTCCAGAAAAATGGATTTACAACTCCGCTGCTTTTCAAAGATAAGAATGGATTGGGACTAAGGTATGTACCTACTGAATTATTGTAATAGTTGTTAAAATTACAGGGATTCTTTAGTTTTAACACATTACTGCAAAATCAAACCAACTTACATACAGCTATATATTTTTTTAGATTTCTTTTTCTTTGTTGGTATCCTATTTTGTGTATTTGTAAAGAGATTACGCAAACAAACAGACGTTATATGACGTTTTCCGAAATATTGGAGACTAATGTCAAGCATATTTTGTAAGAAGATAAGAATGGGAAACTGTGACGTCATTGTTTTACGTCAAATAGCATTCTTATTTTAGAGACGTACACGTAATAAGCGTGAATGAAAGCTTACAGAGGCACTAAGAAAGTTCCACTTCCTATATTTTTCTGAAAGAACCGTATTTTTCTACATAGGTACTGCAATAAATAAGTAGGTACTTGTTCAGCATAAAAATGTATGCGTTGACACGCGTAGACGAGCCCATTAGTAGCCTCTAGAAGTCTAGAAGTGTAGAGTACGTGTAATCGACTTATACAAGTTACTATCAAGTTACCTATCCGTACTTGTATACCTATAATTTGATATACACATGACAGACGGAAATAATTACAACTGATATGACGAGTCGCTGTGGTATCGCGTATCAGGACTTTGCTAACCTAGTTTGATTCTAAGCTGCGATGAGATGCCTAGCTGGGCTAAAATCATGGGGAACTAAGTGGTTTGTCTACGGTTTAGCGATAGAGAAACCTGCTCTAAGTCGTTGGTTAGTGTTATGGTGTTTCAATTTAAATCTTTGTGCATAAAAGGTGGAATTAAAGACGAAATATCTGAACGAACCTGTGAAAATGATTAAAACGATGTCGTTGCGTTAAATAATTACGTAATTAAATTTGATAATGTTAACCTTTTAAAGCTTCACCACAAGGTTCCAATTACGGTCTAGAATTTTATATTGGAAAACATCTAGTGTAATTAAAGTGGCACACGCTAAACAAAGCTCATTATTGTCTCAGCAGGTCCCTACATAATTACCTATATTGTTGTTTCATACCACGGCGCGCATAAATAAACCTTTGTCGTAAATAAAACGGGGTCTAAAACATGTTTTGAAAAAGTTATGTCGTACCCTTGAACACTGTGGTCGAGTGTTTTGACAAATAACTAGATTGTATTAAACTGTTCTGTCGTAATCCCAGCCTAAGTGCTGATTCCTACAGTGTTGCTGTTAATAAAGCTCACAAAAGTATCGTCGGTCTGTGATCTCTTATCTCTTACGTGTTTTATCACGTTGACGTGGTGCCTAACGAAAAATGAAACGAGTTTCGACCTTTTTAGGTGGATCCCTAATCTGTACGAGGAATGCCTTTTGTAGAGATCGTTATAAATGGAGCATTAGTTAACTTCAAACTTGTCTCTTGTTATTTTGTACTAACCATATTATGAGGGATTCAGGGAACAGGTTTCATAAGTTTCTTTCACTGTTTAGGTTAAGTAAATCTCTTTGTATTTATTTGCCTTATACTTGGGTAATGGTTATTTAACTTAGCCTCAACTTTATCAGACCTGAGAATTACAAATGAGTAAACGTGTCAGTTTATAATTTCTGTTCTAGTTTTGACCTAATTCTAGTCCTCTTAGGCACCTTTCTTATAAAATATCTGACGTTTGCAATTAAACAGTTACCATGTTTCCATTTCCTGCGGCCCGGCAGCTAAATGTCTTTATTATTTACATTGGAAACAAATGAACGACGTCACATAGTTTTATTAAAACTCTGGCCCGCTATTTCATTCACATGCATTGTTCTTGTGTAAGTGTCATAGTATAGTGTTAGATTGCTTATAACACTCGTACCTCAGGAATTAAGGTCAAGTATTGAAATGCAAAATATTATTTTTAAACCCAACTTTTCGATAGAAAAGACGAGAGCATTCAAGCTTAACAATATCAAAAAATACATTCTTTTGGCTTTATTTTATAAAATGTACATGGAAGATGGAAGTGCTGATATTAATAAATTACTTCGCAATATACTTAAAGAAGTGAGAGAAAGATAAACAAATCAATTACGTATGGTAATGGCCGGAGCCTGTAATAATATTCACATTACGCGTTATCAGTGATATAGTTTGCTATCACTTTTGCGGTAGGCCACGGGCCACCGATATAATCGTAGTACCGAAACCGCTTCACTGAAATAAAAATACGCCCGTAAGTTATGTTATTATTTCTTATTTTCCTTAACTGAGGGCGCCTTTAGATAAGCTTATTTAAGTGTATTGGCCCGAATTATGTCAACAAACCCCGATTGTTCGTTAAGTACACTGAAAATATATGGATAATGTTGAAAAGTAAAATGTAAAATGGGAACAATAAAATTTATTCGAGATTCCTTTGGGCAGAATACTTACCTTTATCTAAGTACAAATCTAAAATAAAGCTGACCTCATGTTAAATAACTAGTGTAACACTATAAATAAAAAAAAAACAAAGTTGGAACCTCTTTTGCATTTCTTTTTTTTTGCGATCGTATACGATACTGGCTGGAAGACATTAAACGTGATTTGCATACAAAATGGCGTGGTGTAACGATTTCATGTGAAAAGTTCAATTTTAATTAGTTCATTTAAACTTTTATCACGTATTTAATGTTTTTAAATAAACTTACATGTAAACAACGTTTAAGTTAGGTTAGAATTTCCATTCTTTAGTACACTTCTTGGGCTCAGTATTATTGTTAGCGATAGAAGGTGGTAGTGCAATAATATTTTATGCATAAAATAGCTCGAAGATAAGTTTGCAAGCAAAAATATAATTTTACTTACCCATTCCGCGTTTGCTATCTTTAACGTAATCTTTATTGCTATTCTGAAGCACTATTTCGTGTAAGAATCGTTATAAGGTCAATTATTATTTTTATTTATAGAAAGAAATTGGGATTTTCACATACACCGTTATTATTATCTATAAAATGTACTACAGATGGATACAAAGAATAAGAAATCTAAAAAATAATAAAGTCAAAAATAGAAACTGAAAGCAAATTAAGTTTTCTTTGTAAGAGTTATTCTTTTTTGTAGATCATTTAGCAAATTTGTTATTGTTTGTAATTTAATTAAACGTTTGAATATTCAATTTTAGACTAACTGTTGGAAAGCTTTTCAGGCATTAATATATTATTATTATTATGTATGTCTTTACCATTCACGGGACCACAGGGTCCCGGTCATTTGGAAGGCGTACGCGGGGCCGAAGCCAATTCTGCGCAGTGGCCCTTTAGACAACTTTAATCTAAATGTTATAGACACACAAACCGGCGACTATCCCTGTATGCACTATGGAAATGCACCCAAGGACAGTCCCCGGTTAGTTATTATTATTATGCTTCTTTAATACCGAACAGGAAAACGAATTTGAAAGAAATCTTTAAATTACACGCGAGTGAACCCACAGGTGAAAACCTAGTATTTTATACAGGAAACAAAAGATAACAATAGTATTATTATTTTTATAACGATAAAAACGTGACAATGAATAAAGAATGTACCTATTTATAACTTTGCAGAGTCCATTTGAAAACCAGATACAGTGTCATACGAGTAGTATCTAATTGAAACAATACTCCTTTATTCGTCTGGCACTTCTTGCCCTTGGTCGAGCCATTTCAAGCAGTATATTGCCTAATCTGAAAGCTCTTTATTATTCAAGTTTCGATTCAACGTCGCTTAGTGCTGAAGTTTCTACCCCACTGGAGCAAATAGAGCGCAGTCTCTTAACAAGAATAGGAAATGCAGGTGCCAGGTGCTTACTAGAGTGAACTGTAGGTAATATTTTAGTGTCTCAGTTGAGTGAGTATCCGTGTAATAAATAAAATAATTATTTATATAATATACTTAACATATATCCTCTGTGTAAATCTAAATGTAAAAAAACGGTCAGGAACTGGCTTCTTGACATGGACTATGATAGCACTGAAGAATTACTGCACGTTTTATCTTAAATCTCGCATAGGTACATTGTTGGGTACTTCGTCGTTGTCGGCTTTCGGTAATGTCTACATATTCTTCACAGCACACCAACTTACATACACAAACACACAACTTCAGATACACTCACACTAAAGACATGAACACTCACACACTGTACATTCATTTTCACAATTGACAAACACATTCTCATCATCCATTCTCATATAATCCACTCTGGTTTGGTGTTGGTCTACCCTCAGACCACGGAATTTGTTTCTTTTTATTGCTTGTATTTTATTGCATTACAATTATCTACTATATTATTGTGACATCGGGTGTGAACCTGGAGATCTGTCATACAGGTCTTGAACCCAGTATAGACTCCAGCTCTCACAAAGGTTGAACCTATTGTAACTTAAATAGTGATATAATGTTTCTATGTATGTACCTTTTTGAGAGAAATAAATTCATAACATAACATAACATCACGCCTTTTATCCCCGAAGGGGTAGGCAGAGGTGCACATTACAATGTAACACCCACTTTTCACTATTTATGTTATGAGTCCCATGTAATAGGGGGTGAGCCTATTGCCATATACCGGGCACAATTCCAGACTCCGTGCTACTACTGAGAATGTTTAAAAACCCAGTAATACTTTGCCCGACCCGGGAATCGAACCCGAGACCCCTTGCCCGGCAGTCGCACTTGCGACCACTCGGCCAACGAGGCAGTCGTGATAAATAATTTAAGAAATAAATTCCTTTATTATTTTATTTATTTATTTATTTATGCAGTAGTATTAGGTTAGTCGCGTGGGTTTTTATGGGGCAACATGCGAGATTTTTTTTGAGGGGGCAAAATGATAAAATTACTCCTCCCATTCGGAGTTGACGAGAGGGTGTCAGTCTAGCATCTTTCTTAAATTATTTTGAGTCATTTTATGCCTCATTTTTTAAATGCACATTTTATTTCATGAATACCTTCTAGATAATTTCAATTTCAGAAAAATAATAACTATTTTGTACTAAGTGACTGAATTGACTGCCTTGTTGACCTTTAAAAAAATCAAATGTAGCTGGTAGTTCCAGAGATCATAGTTCATTCAATCAACATAATCTTCAGCTTCACAACTTGCATTGCATACACAAACATGTGACAAAATGTTCACAAAACGTAATTTCAAATGCAAGTAGGTTAATTTAAATTCTAAAATCTAGATAATCCCAGTGACTTTTGAAGTTATTGTGAAATCCTTACTACAATGCGAGATGCCAATTATTCGCAATGTTTACAATGTACTTACATAGGTATGTGACTATGGAACTGGTATCTCTTACTTGATCTTTAGGTATTTGTGTATTGCAATTATTGTAATGCTAAAAAAGTACTTAAAACCTTGTGGTGTTGACAAAACTAATAGTTATGTCTTGCGACCTATATTTTTGAGCAGTAAACAGATACGCGTACCTATCAAAGGGAAGGAAAAGCAAAACGCGTCAACGACATTAATTGTAATTCCTACTAATCTATTCCCGTTATAATTAAAACAATAACTCTTTAGTATATAAATTATCTCATTAATTTGCAGACAGTCAAAATTGACTAATGATTCTAGAAGAAACCATTCCATTGATTAGCAAAGGCAACAGGTTGTCTGGCCTGGGAAAATATATTTTATACATTGATTTGGCTTCGTTCAAATACTGGTGTCATAGACAACAATAGCCAACGAAGTTTAAACTGTACCGGACAACCTTACAATTCCAACTATTGTCGCCTTCGAATTTCAAAACTTGCTCCGTATTGAGACGAATTACCGATAAAGCCACGCTACCCCCGAGGCTTCGATCAATTGAAACTTTATGTTTGAGATGAGATCTTTTATTACTGTTGAGGTTTCGTTATGGGATTGAAACTCCTTTGTTCCTTGTGTGTTTTTTATTCATAATTCAATTTGAGTATCTGTGCTGTAGTTCGCATTGCAGATGTCTATGGGCGGTGGCCTGGTTGCAATCTTATTACATTTTCCAACTGGCTTGCGGTTGACTTAATTCTTGCCAGGATTCGATGAATACTCGGTACTATACAAATAAAGTGAGTTGTATCAACCCTCAATCATGCAGAAAAGTAATATAATGCTCCTTTCATAGATTTTTTGAGTTCAGACATTCAGATCTATAAATAAGGCATCTCAACCTGAAAACCATCATGTCCTTGGGTTTCACACCTGTAAATCACCCAGGACTTCACATTACATAACAAAAATTGCGCGTTAGGAATGTTCAAAGGACATTATTTCAACATTCCCTTGTTCCGAGAACTGCTTACGCAAAAGCTTTTCTTTGTTTGTTTGAGACGCGATACTGGGAAAAGGTGCGATAACTCGCTGACTGTAAGTAGAGCTATCAATCGCCACGACTGAAAGGTCGTCATTATTAAACGTTGATACTTTTACACTTAACAGTAATTTAGCATAACGTTTTAAAATGTGTAAATATTTTCCGTAGAAGTGTTTTTGCAATTAATCAAGTGAATTGATTCTATATTGATTCCTTTAATTTTAAATCATATCTAAGAAATACGTTTGTTATAAGTACAACTGTCGCGAGATACTTATTAATTTAAATAATGTTCTACAGCTTATAGCTCGGTTGTCGCTCAACGCTACTCATGTTTAAGACTCCTTGCGTAACTTGAAACTAGTCCAATTACCTCGTCGAATAATTACGTGAGACTACTACCGATCCCCTTTGTATTTCATTAAAAGCTATGTGACAATTTATTGTTCTCCAAGTTTTTTTATTAAGAATTTACTGCACTGTTGGCTGGTTGTTGCTGCCCCGCCACATGTAGCGGGCTCGATCCCCGCACGGAGAAACTCTTTGTCTGATCCACAAATTGTTGTTTCGGATCCAGGTGTACTGTCATGTGTATGTGATATTGTATACTTGTAAACGCACCCACTATACAGTAGAAAATCTAAGAGTGCCCCACTCTTTTATAGAGAAAAAAAAGAGAATTTATGTAACGAATGAAAAAAAAGTTTGCGGCGTAGAAGAGCGCAAGTATAACATAGAGTGGGTTACATTTGTTCGATGTTTCGAAATTCCAAAGTTTCACAGAAGCTTCACAAGTGTTTGAAAGAAGTTGATTGTTCGGTTAATTGCGAGTTGGTTAATACGAACACTTTACCCGTGGATTGCTTAGCTGTAACTTCAAGTTTACTTGTTTTGTGATTCTGCTTAAGTTTTATTCGTTCTGACATTATGTAACGGTTATTTTTTTATTGGGTAAACTAAGTTATCTTTATTTATTTACAAGTAGGTATATAAATTGATGTATATTCTAGCTCGTCTTTTTCCAAATCTACAGAATAAATCTTTGCCGTGTTTTGTTCCAAAATAATGTGTTTTTATTCAATGCTAAGGTATCGACAAAGGTAGTTAGTATCCTAAATTTAATTTTAATATCCCTCTTGTAGATTATTTTAAAATATTAGATATACGTATTTTTCTTTTCTTACAAAATTAAATACTTTCGATGATTTTAAATATCGTGTGACGTCACGATTTACTACATTTTATAGGGTAGCGTGACGTTACGACCTCCGACTCCTAAACTGAACTCCGTTTTATCTAAATATTGTTCTCTTATATGACAAAATTAAAAAATATGTGTCTAATATTTTTTAGATAATTGATGGACTACATTTTTAATTTTCATACACTGCCTACTTACTAACCTATTGGGGATGCTATAAGTTTTGCTATAGTATTAATTGCCATGAACCTTGTCAAGTGCCAGCTCCTTTAAAAATAATAAAGATCTTTTAAAACCCAAATCTAAACATAACACAATAATGCAATATACATACATATTACATTTTATTTAGTTTCACCTATCCCTATGTTTGTCTGTTTTATTTTATTGTGTCTGACATAGTGGCAGCCGAGAGATTAATGGTTATGATTTGTTACAGGGTCCCAACAAGCAACTTCACGGTGAACGATGTGCGGATGTGTGTCGGCTCCCGACGCATGCTCGATGTCATGGACGTCAACACACAGAAGAATATCGAGATGAATATGAAGGTAAGATTATTTAGGTATTCAATTTACTAGATTTCAACCAGCAGCTTTGTGAGAGTAAGATTCCTGTCAAGGAGGTCTTGCAGTTATAGCCAAATGCGACTTAGTGCTAGTCTACATGTAGAATAGAAAACCAAATTATATGGGATTGACGTAAATTTTGACACTTGTCAGTGTCATCCCTATACATTTTGTTTTCTACTATCTCTGTAGACAAGCGCTAAGGTGGCGTTTGGCTAAAGGCACTAGTGCTGTTGGGAAATGGGGATAAAAATTAGTCGCATTTGAAACTTTTCAATAGTAAAATTTTTATGAAAGCTTTTATTATGTATTGACATTAATAGAATTATGTAGATACATACATACCCTGTTTCTAAAGAAACACTTAAAAAAATATTTCCTTATTTATGACCTAATTTAAAACCAAAATATTCAATAATTTTTGAGATTAACGTGTTGGCATCCCTATTAAAATTGATTCAGACAGGATACTGTTCGATTTAGAGAAATTAGGATTCGTAGAGTACGAAGCGAATGTAGGCGTGGGTGGGGTGCTTAGCGCTCAGCGCTTAACAGTGGACTTGTTACTGAAGATTAGTAGAGGAAATACATTTACTTTCTTTCTGGAGCATGTAAGGTACATACTCCAGACATCAATGACGTAAACTTTCTTTGAGGTGGCAGATTTATGAAAACCTTAAGTTAGTTAATTTATAATACCTATTACGCATTTATTTATAATACCTACTAGTATTATACCACTAGTATTATAAATGTGTGTATGTTTGTTACTTAATCACGTCCAAACGGCTGAAGGGATTGGTTTGAAATTTAGAACAGGTATAGATTATAGTCTGAATTACACATAGGTTATATAGGTTTTATCCCACGGGAACGGGGGCCAAGCTAGTTACTAATAAAATGAAGGCAGGGAGGACAATAAAATGTTAAATAGATAGAAACTTTTTTACGTAACTGCTAACATGCACCAAGTAGGACAGGAAGTAACCATACGAGAATCTCAAACGTATACGTTATATTCAGAGATATTTTTATTTTACCTAATCCTTCGACTGATAAGGAAAGGTTTACCTGTTACTTCAAATAATCCCACATTGGGCATCCAAGGAATGTTATTGTTGGAACAGGTTATCTATTGAAATAGGCTAGTCACAAGGAAAGCGTATCTTTGTAGAAAAGAGTACAAGTATTAAACCTCGGAACTTGGAACTAACCTACACCAAACATCGTAACTCCAGGTTAATGACCTAGAAGAGGAAAATAATGTCAACACTGACTAATAAATGAACTAACGACCTTAGACTTATTTTATTTTCGGTACAAAAAGACAAGAGATTGGCAAAATAAAACTGGAAAGCGAGAAAAATGGGAGTGTTGAATTTGCATTGAATATATTTTATGTTAATGTGATCGAAGCTGCATGCACAAGCTGTTATACAAAAGATAATGTAAATATGTGTAGATTGTGTAGTTTGAAATCGCGCCTGTGGTGATTGGTTATAAGTTTATCAATATAACTATGAGTATTGTAACATAATTGGCGAAATGTGATAAAAACTATAGGGTATCTTCGCTGCTCCTTGGAAAAACCTTTAAACGAGCAAACTTTGTATACATATTTATGTATCAATAATCTCGTAAACGGCTCCAAATTTCTTGGAATTTTTGTATTGTATGGGCCTTTGGGGGCGATAAATTGATCTAGCTAGGTTCTGTTATCAGAAAATATCGATTACTAAAAAAAGAAACACCGAACAAAGCTCTGTCATCTAGGTACTAATTTAAAATAGTATTACCGCCAACATCAACTTACCTGGCTTCAGAGTTATATGGATTACAGCATATTTATTAAGTTAGTGTGACAATTAAAAAAAAAATACAAACTCGTGGATGTTTCCATTAATTTCCGCGACTGCTTCAATGCACATGAATAAATCATTAAGCCGCTGTAGACAGGAACAATCGAGCCCATAGGGAACCGCATAATTTTAATACCGAACGAGATTGTCAAGACTTCACGGGCTTGTTAAAGGTATAAATTAATAAATGTATTATTTCACCGACTTGTAATAATTATTATGAAACATGAACGTTATTTTTCTAACTAGGCGTGGGTAGCAGGCGAGCAATTGATACAAGAAATAAGGGAAGAATTTCGAGGTCGTTTTTATATTTAGAATTTAAATTGATTATGTCTAGTTTGGAATTGAATAAGATTTGTGTGTAGCGGTAATTTTACATGAAGCGTATTACACTATCGCTTAAGGTGCTGCTTATCATATGTACCATACGTTTACGTACACCAAACCAGCAACCATTAGGTGTTTAAATCAGTATGGTCACGCCAAAATTGATATTTAATAATTAAATTATAATAAAAACGTTGCCCTACACTAGGATTTCCTCCTGTGTCGTAGGTGTGTTAACAAACATAATATCACATACACATTACCTATACAGTTTAGGGTCTTGGGGGCCCAAGACCCTAAACAACAATTTGTGGATCACACAAATGCTCCTGCGAGAATCGAACCCGCCAACCGTAGTCAAATTAGAAATAGACACCGAGTTTTTTGACAAATTGAACAATTTCTTGATTAAAACATATTTTTACATCAATAATGATGACACATCCACAGTTGAGAAGGAAATAAGTACAGCAATATCGCTTCCTATCTCACGTGACAACACAAATAAACCCAGATAGTCTGCCACTTGTAATATTCTACTACAACCATACAATTCTGCCTGAAATCGGTCATCAATCACTATCTATAGTTGACTGCGATAATCGCTTCGCCGGTGATTGCCGTATCTAAGTTTTGTTTACACGATGTCTAACAAGGGGTTCGAACGGAGAATTTACAATTCATATCGATATTTACTCGCTTGGTTTATACATCGCATCGTCTGTAATCGATTGTTAAATCTTTGTTTCTCGATGCATGTTTTCCTGGAACTCTTTTTAATGTTTTTTTGTTCTAAAATGTTTCAATTTTTTTCTTTGTTTGTTTTGCGGTTGCAAGTAAGACATCTATATGATATTTTTCCTTAAGCATAGCTAAAGGGCAGGTGCACTATTACAACCACTCTTAGCAATTTATGTATCAATAATGACTATCTTGATAAAATAGACTGGCAGCGAAAGTTGCAGTAAATTGGCTTATGACTCGACAGGCAATCAATTAATAAAATTATATGCCAGTTTTAATAAAATAGGGAATAAAATTGACACCACAGAATAAATAAGTACCTACATAATACAAATACACACATCCTTTTGGAAAATATGCTTATTATTTGGTAATGTGATTCAGGATATTAGCTAGACAAACAAACCAATGGGTGACACATGTAGATGCCCAAATAAATTGTTAAAAGTGTATCCTGTTAGCGATCAGATACAAATAATAGATTAAAATAATTTATGCACGAGCCTTTGACGGATTATTTATTTACATTAATAACATTTAAACGTAACTAATAAATCCTAATTTAATACTTTTTTTTAGCATACTGATCATTATCCCTTGATTAGATAAAGAAACTTAAATTTCTAACTGCTTGTGAATAAAAAATTGTATGAAGGTATGTTGAGCGTGTCAATAGTATGGATGAGGCTAACAGGATGAACATTATATAAAACGTCACATAAAATTTTCTACTTATTCTTGCTCTTATCCTAACTTATTTGGGGTGAACTAAATGCCTTTATTACCCTTCACCTTCCATTCACGTGTGTGAATGGGGGTGCGCGCGTCTTCGCTCCCGTTTTCGTAGCCTAAAAAGTAGCCTATGTGTCATTCCAGACTACAATCTACCCCTCTTCTAAATTTAATCCCGATTCCTTCAGGAGTTTTGACGTTATTGAACAAGAAAAATACAAACAAACTCACGAATTTATGCATTCAAGATATGTTATGTTAATATTATATATAGTTCTGTAGGTCGATACAAGCTTTCGAACTCCAAATGAGTATTACTGCAGTATTTATTCTACCGATCCTTTTACTAAAGCAGGTCAACAGTTTTATAGTCAGACACTACAGTAGATCCGTGATCATTCTTAAACAAAATAAAACGGATTCCTCCGTGCCTCAATGAGCACATAAAGTCGTCAGACGGTCGTAGTGAGACGCTGGAATGCCTAAAAACTTTATCGTGTCCCCTATTGAAGTGCGAAAACTGTTGATTGCAGTTAACAATGAAATATTATGTGGTTATTTACGACGACCAAGGCTTTTTTTCTTGTGAAGTAGGCAGAGGGTTCACCATATTAATTTGAACAATTACAGCTGGTTCAGTGTCCTCTAAATTTGCTGAAGCTTTAATATCCTTACTCAAATAGAAACCCCAACCATTAAATTCCTTTAACAAATGTATATCTTCTTTTTCTTATTCAGGATTGGCAGCGTTACTACGATGATCCTAACAAGGAGCGCCTGCTGAACGTGATCTCGCTGGAGTTCTCCCACACGCGACTCGAGAACTACGTGCAGGCGCCACGCATCGTGCGCCTCATTGACTGGGTCGACACCGTGTGGCCTCGCCATCTCAAAGATCAGCAGGTACAGTTTCATCTACTGTGTAACAATGCAGATTTAGTGATTATTATTAAATATTGTATAACACACTACAATCTGCAATTCATTGGATCCTGTTATCGAGATTTACACTTTCGGGCATAATGACCCACTCGTAAAAGCAGACTTTAAATTTCATTGCTCGTTAACGCCCTCCCAAGTCCCAAGTTTAATTAAATTAAGTAAAAACCTTAAGCTAAGGGTCTTAAATATACTTTTTAATAGATAATAGCTACAACGTAATTGAAGTTCAACATGCTACCCGAAACATTTCGTAAAAGTTGTGTCGAAAGTATCGGCCGGAAAATATGCTGACTTGGGCGGGACGGACTCGTTTGAGGTCGTGAGATGTCGGATTATTTCGGGTGACTGGGTGGATTCGCCAGTAATCGTTCCCCACGGCCCGCCGCGACGACCCGTGCCCTTGAACTGAAAGAGATATGCAAGAAAAACATACACAAAAGAAAATGTTCTTTTGTAAGGGTGAATTGTGCACCTACTTATAGTTTTGATAGCAATTAGGTGGTTTATGAATGGATTTTAAATGTACAAGTCACGCGCGGATACGCAACACGACACGAAATAAGTATTACATTGTACTCTGCACGCGAGCACGATGTCATGCCTATAATTTCGTCCTTTTCGACTTACAACGTCTGTTGACAGACATGAAACTTACGTATTTGGAAAATGTAGTAGACAGACTAACAAAGCTCACAACATACTTTGGAATTTATTGTTATAGCAAAACAATAACTATTACTTGGCAGATTTCCTAGTATATGTTTTGTAACAATTATTCAGTTCACCCGGCCTTACTGACTTGTCATAACATGATATTTATTTATTTTCCCAGACTGAGTCAACCAATGCCCTGGACGATATGATGTATCCCAAAGTACAGAAGTACTGCCTGATGTCTGTAAAAGGCTGCTACACAGATTTCCACATCGATTTTGGAGGTACCTCTGTATGGTACCACATTTTGAGAGGTAAGCAAACTTAATTAACACCTTATTTGTACCTAGTTAGAGTTGTTTTTCTTATAACATTATTGTATTTCGTTATGATATTAAATGAATATTAATTAACTTTTCAGGCGCAAAAGTGTTCTGGTTGATCCCACCCACTGAGAAGAATTTGCAGCTATATGAAAAATGGGTGCTATCTGGCAAACAGTCTGATGTCTTCTTCGGAGATACGGTTGAGAAGTGCATCAGGGTTCATGTGAGTATTGAAGATATTGATTATTTAGTAATAACATATTCTTTATCATTTAGTTATTTAGTACTAGTTTCTAGCATAATAATATTGTAGTCTTATGGCCCAATCCCAATAGTTACTTGAGTTGTATTACATACTTGTATTGTATTTATAACATACTGGTACTTTATTTTGCCCTTGTAAGTTATCAAACATACTGGTGTAACCAAGAACACTTGAATCAGTAAGATTATTTTTATGAATCAATCAGGAATTAGGTACAAACCAAAGACATCTTGCTTGACTTTACTTTTCCGGGAATACCATATCTACTGTAATAGATAAACGGCAATGCACTTTGTGATCATAGTTTGTGTACGGGAAATTCTATTTATTGTATGTTACATTATGATAAAAAAATTACGCAAACTTCTTCAAAATCGGATCTCTTACTTCATATCATAAACATAGAAGTGAATATAAAGTTCATTGTATTATCGTTAACATTTCAGTTACAAGCTGGGCATACATTCTTCATCCCGACTGGTTGGATCCACGCTGTGTACACTCCCAGCGACTCCCTCGTGTTCGGCGGTAACTTCCTGCATCAGTTCGGTATTGAGAAGCAGCTGAAGATAGCCCAGGTTGAAGATGTTACCAAGGTGAGATATGATTATAAAATTTGAAGTAGTTTTTCATTGCATTGCAAGACTTCTTTTAGCTGCCACATGCGTGTAGATTAAATCGAGAAATGTGTTTCCAGCTATATTTCCGGGTCTGTAAAATTATTATCGAATTTCGGTTTTAGAAAATTCTCTGTAATAAGAAGAAAGCTGAGATGGTGGAAGGTTTGTGGCAATAGGCTCACCACTTATCCTTCAGGCCTTTCAGTCAACTAAAAAGTGTTGTAATATGAAATCTAATTCTTTAAATCATATTTTATCTTTCATTTTTCAGGTGCCTCAAAAGTTCCGCTACCCGTTCTTCACGGAGATGCTCTGGTACGTGCTGGACCGGTACGTGACCGCGCTACTCGGTCGCTCGCACCTCGCTCCCGAGGGACAGTCCTCTATTACTCCCCCGAAGGAACATATACATCTTACGCAAAATGAGCTGCATGGACTCAAGGTGAGATACTGTTATTTTGTGACATTATTGTTCTTAGAAGGGTGGGCGTGCTGATTGAAGATGGAGGGAATCATATTAGTCGCCGGAGACCCCGCTAACGAGGTCCTCTATATGCAGGGCACGGTATATAATTGGTCAAGATATAGGTTTATGTTCTAAGGACCACATAAAATGCCTAATGGATAGAACTTCACATAATAATTAATATTTGACTATTTTAATTACTATTTCTTATAATGTCATTTATAACACAAACCTGGCCTGTAACAGAACCAATGTCTAACTAGATTCCTATTAGCATTTATTGAATCTAACAAGTTCTATGATTTTATAGCAGTTGTGTTTAGCATTTTATTTTAAATCGACTAACCACTAAAGCCTTTATTCTGCGACACATCGGTTTTAATTTAACTGCTATTTCCTTTTGTTTGTTTCTAGGCTATAGTGATGTATCTGCATCAGTTGCCAGCGGCTCGCAAGTCAGTCCCGGAGTTACTGTCGGACCCCATCGCGTTAGTGAAGGACGTGCGAACTCTGGTGGAACAACATAGACATGATAAACAACAACTTGCTATTACTGGAGTGCCTGTGCTCAAAGGTGAGTTGTTGAATAATATTCAATGATTTGTTTTTTTTTTATTTTGCTATTGACTTCAAGATTATTGAGTAACTGTATGCTCGACTGCATAGTACAATCTATGTAGTATCTAGTATAATCTAGTATCATCTTGAGTCTTATTCCCAAAATTCCAAAAGATATTGAAATTTAAAGGAGAATGGCAGGTTTGTATGGAAGTTTTGTACCGCTATAAAATTTTGTATTAGTCATTGTTTTAACCAAGTGAATAGTCTGAACGATAGATATTTTTATTATGAAGTTTAGAAAAAAATTACATATTTTTAGAACTTGGGGTTCAAAAGTTATTTCACTTTGAAAATGTGCAAAAGGTATGTTAAGGTGGTACCACACTTGACATTGCGTAGTCGCTTCATTTGTCCAAATATTTGTAGACTACGTACAAATGGCGTCCAAATAGTATCTCTATATGTAATGGCGTGCAAATATATAGCAAACAAAGAAGAATAAATCCTCCAAACATGTTCTTTTTTGGCCGAACACAACAAATACGCAACGTCAAGTGTAGAGCCACCGTAAGCAAAATATCTATTACAAATGACAGATGACAGTTAACTGAAAAATGTCAATGTGCTCTCATGTGGTTGTTTATTTACAAAAAACAAAAATCTAAAAATACTGCTCGCTACTCAAGTGACTATTACACTTTGTATTATTAGAAAGAAAGAAAGAAAGAAAAACCATTTATTTTGCTACGACACACAACAAGAATTTAGAAACCCAAAAAATAACCTATGGTGCGTCGCAGCGCAAAAGGCAATTAGGAATGATCCTGTTAATTCAGCAAGCATGATGCACCTATAGAGTTTTAAAGAGTATGCCTCACAATCTTTTTCATTTCTTAGGTGCCTACGAAAATGCAAATTCATAATGTAAGCGACTGTCATTGGGTAGAAGGCCTACATTTAGCAGTGGAAGTCTTGTGGCGGATATGATAAAACTAATGTCTCACTTCACCTTGAATCTTGCAGCTAGATAGTCTCAAGGGTCTCAAGTTAATTCGATTTAAACTTAGCTTAGCTCTTTGAGAAAGTATTTCTTCTGAAAACTGGTTGCTTAGCACGCATGTAAGGATTAATTTCTAATAAGTCAAATTAGTAGAATCATCAACATTTTCATCATTAAGTCTATGAGTGGCCACTGCTGACCGAAGCCTCTTCTCGCATGGAGGTTTGAGCATTAATCACCATACTAGCTCAATGTGGGTTGGTAATTCAAACTTATAATAAGAAATTATAAGCCCATGTTTCCTCACAATGTTTTCCTTCACCATTCGTCAGCGGTGTCTTTGTACTTTCTTAGATTATTGAATATACCAATAACTCGGAAAAAAGACACACATAACATAACATCACGCCTTTTATCCCCGAAGGGGTAGCCAGAGGTGCACACAGAGGTAACACCCACTTTTCACTATTTATGTTATGAGTCCCATGTAATAGGGGGTGAGCCTATTGCCATATACCGGGCACATCTCCAGACTCCGTGCTACTACTGAGATTTTTTTAAAAACCCAGTAATACTTTGCCCGACCCGGGAATCGAACCCTAGACCCCTCGCCCGGCAGTCGCACTTGCGACCACTCGGCCAACGAGGCAGTCACACACATTGGACAAAAGGTACTTTGCCGTTGGTAGGTTTCGAACCCGCACTCTCATGCATGAGAAGCGGGCTTCTTAAACCTCTGGGCCACCACATTACAACTAAAGAAAATGTAAAATGAAAATGAACATTTTTGGTATAAAACTAAAGCTATCTAAATTAAATATGGCATTTATTTTATAGATTGATTCTTAAAATCACTTTTATCAAGATGGAATATATAGTTACTTACTAGGTTAAAATAAAACAAATGTATTATTTTGAAATACTTTTATTTCATTGTATTCAGGTTGTTTCTAGGAGTACTTCATCCAAAAAGAGAACAGGCCGTGTCATAGGTACAGCAGACATCAATTGCTGATATCTGTAAACAAGTAAGATAACTGTAAATAAAGTAAACAAAAGTACATTTTTTTCCTTTAGTTTTATATGTTATAATAATAAGTCTGATTCCCTATCTTAAAATGGAAAAGATAAAAATAAATATTTGATTACATTACTTCATTTTATAACATTTATTATAGTTATTCGTATAACACAGATCATAGGAGCTCAAACAGCATGCTAATTAATAAATTATAATTATAACATGAGTATAAATCTATTAGAAACCGCTTATATACTCCACATAGATACATAATTATGTAGGTACATTATATTGAGAATGCATACCTGTTGAAGCTTTGAGAGCCGAACAACATCATCCGGCCTCATCTGTTCTACAAATGGCAATGTTAAAGTGAGGCTTAGTCCATGTTTACATAATACATTACTTCCTGATAGTGAACACTGTGAGGTGGTATGTCAGGTTGTGGTTTTATAGTTTCGACTCTTGTACGGTCTCTCAGTCAGTATGGAATATGATCTTCATCATGGGAAGTAAGCTAAAATAAGTAATATTATTAGAATATGATATTGACTTTAGATTACACTGTATATAGATAATAGTATGGTTAAATTATGCTTTATTACCTCTTGTGGCTGAATCCAATCAAATACTATATGAGCCAGTCTTTACTCCTGTTTGTTGGCGCCTTCAATTAAAACCCTGCGTCACCTTATCATTGCAATGAATCACCCATATACGACACAAACATGCCAGTGACCAATTTGTTTGCTGGACATACTTTCAGCAACATCCCAATACATTGCTAATTGCCAGCAAGCATTGCAAATATGGTCGGTAGGAGAGATCTAGAATAAAAAGAATAAAATGATACATTATGGGTAGATAACACTATGCGCCTTCTTTTATTCAGGCAACATGGTGACTTTCGATATGTTATGGGTAAACTAGGTACTTACATCTCTAGGATAAGTCCACATTGGGATATTGTTGACCACGTCTAATCTTCACTCTCATTTTCTAGAGCATGCCGTCTCATGTGCGACAAACTCTGAATGCAATTAATACACTGTAAATTCATCATCGCGACAAATAACAACACACTGCACAAAATAATGTAAATAAGTGTCTTTTCGCAATTGTCACAACAATGATGCCAATAATACCAATTTGGGCTACGGAGGAACGGTTGCCAAACTCAACGTATCACCAGATGAATAAAATAACTTCAAATTCAACAAACACATCATAACATCGCATTTGAAACAAACAGCAATGCGCCAGTATTGACAAATTAATTGTCAATGTCATCAAGACAAATGCCAGTTCAACATTGCCATAATATTCAAGTTTGTTAAAATGTTAATTATCATTAATAATCCATGTAAACGTAGATTTAGATTGGATGTAGATTTTTATATTTACTTATAAAAATGTTTGAAATGGAAAGGAAAATATTTCATTGATAGATATTAAAATAAATGAGTTTATGAAATAGCGAAATTCAATATGCTCTGATTTCATCTTTACGCATGGCAACTTTGTAAACGTCAATCGCGGTTCGTTTTACGTATAGTGGATTGCTTTTTATCATTATTGAATATCAGTTTTTCTAGGGTTTCCCAAGTTTTAAAAATCTATTAAATATGCTAACATAACGTACTTAGGAGGTTCTATAATGACCCAATTTTTTAATGACAAATCTTTTTTTAGCGAAGCGGTACAAAATCTGCCGTTCTCCTTTAGAGAATTCTTGATGAAGAAAACGCAAACTTTGGGAAAATTGTGTCAGGTCACCCTTTTAAGATGTTACATAGAGTTCGTAACATAGAAAACTAAAAATGAGTGTTAAATTAACCTTTCCGTACAACCCTAGGCTAGAAAACACTTAATTTTTGCTTCTTTTATTCGAAGTATAGGATAAGCAATGCCTTTCTTTTTGACTGGTAGAGTTATTTAGCTCAGTTTGGTTTGCGGAAGTGCCGATACTGTTGTAACATAATGTTTCCATCCCTCCAGGGCCGGACGACGTGGTGACGACGGAGCGGCGCCAGTCGAGCGGGCGCGGCGGGCGCGGCGGCGTGCACCGCGGCGGGCCCGCGCGCCCGCGCCCCGACCACGCCAACAACGCGCCGCGCAGGAGGCGCACGCGGTACGTACACGACTCTTACCATGTTATTATTCATAACATAACATCACGCCTTTTTATCCCCGAAGGGGTAGGCAGAGGTGCACACAGAAGTAACACCCACTTTTCACTATTTATTTTATGAGTCCCATGTAATAGGGAGTGAGCCTATTACCATATACCGGGCACAATTCCAGACTCCGTGCTACTACTGAGATTTTTATTTTTTTAAAACCCAGTAATACTTTGCCCGACCCGGGAATCGAACCCGAGACCCCTCACCCGGCAGTCGCACTTGCGACCACTCGATCAACGAGGCAGTCTTGTTATTATATTGTCAGATAATATTTATTGCCTCAGACTCCATACGCATTATGTAGTTCTGTCATTATTTCATTTTATGATATTATTTAATGTAATTTATTGTTCGGCAGAATCTCATTTTGAGATATTTTAGTAAACTAGTTCGTTTCTAAATTACTATAAAATAATCTACAAACTACACAATGACGTCAAAATTATATAGTTATGAAGTCAGTGTGTAGTTTACTTGACAGAATACAAAAATATACAAGTTAAAACACAAAATTTAATACTTTGTAAATTTATTTCAACACAATGACTGCTGTAGTTTACGTGTCTGTTTATAAATCATTATTTATACTCATTTCCTTTTTTGTTTCAGCTGTAAGAAGTGCGAGGCTTGTCAACGCACGGACTGCGGCGAGTGTGTGTTCTGCCATGACATGGTTAAGTTTGGGGGACTCGGCAGAGCCAAACAAACTTGTGTTATGCGACAGTGCTTACAGGTATTATTCATATTCTAAATCTTATTACTAATCTGTATTTAGGAAGATAAATGTGCTATAATATTACATCTTGTAATAAATTAGAAAATTTTCGAAACTTAAAAGCGATTTGACTGCACGGTTGGTGCGGTGGCTGGGCAACTGGCTGCCGCGCAACGTGTCGCGGGTTCGATTACCGCACGGAACAACACTGTGTGATCCACAAATTGTTGTTTCGGATCTGGGTGTCATTGTGTATGTGAACTTGTATGTTTGTAAACGCACCCACGACACAAGATAAAATACTAATGTGGGGCAACGTTTAAAAAAAAAAAGATTGTTTGCCTAAATTGTGACCCAATAAACTCGGAGTTTCACTCTAACATGCGAAAAATAAGGCAGCTATATCCTCATGGCATTATAAAGTGATAGTAATTTAAACTTATTTGTTTTATTTTCAGCCCATGCTCCCAGTCACAGCATCCTGTGCAGTTTGTCACCTCGACGGGTGGATGCAGACACCGGTCGCGCCACAAGCTAAAGGCAATAATGGTAAGCATTCTTACAATATTTGCACTCAGCCAATAATCTACTGATACTGATATCTACAAGGGATCTACATATGGGAGGGGGTTGGGTATTATTGTTAGAACATGTAACTAGAGTTTTCAGTCTTGGTCACTTTTCATTTCAATCTTGGAAAAGTTGAAATAAAATTAACATCTCACCAGTTTCTGGTGTTACTAGCTTAGTTTTGGCTCTGCTCAATCGTTCCAGGTATATTTAGAACAAACAATAGTTTTATAAGTCTATATTTAAAAGTAACTTTATATTCTCAGGTCGCAACGGTCCGTCAACGCTCCGCGAGTGTTCAGTATGCTACAGTATCGTGCACCCGGCGTGCGTGCCCCCCGGCGGACAGATCAATGAGGACCTCCCCAACTCTTGGGAGTGCCCCACTTGTACTACTATGGGACTTAACCATGATTATAAGGTATGTTGGTGGATATAAATTTTGATGTTATAAAGAATAGATAAAATGTTGATTAGTGGTCAGTAACCTTTTTGACGGTAGATTTGGTTTGGTTATTTGGTAACTGGATTTTATGGCCGGTCGCAGATGTATAGATAGATGCCAGTACACCAAGTTACCCCAAGATTTTCTTCAGTAACAACTTTATAACACTCTCCAATTACAACTTTATTACAACCCATTAAGGTGAACGTTAGCTTTTGTTATCATCCATTCCTTCCCGATAATTACATAAACATTATTTGGAAAGTGAGATAATAGGGATGATGAGGGTATGAAAATAAAAAATCTAATTAGACCGTCAGTTAGGTAACGAAAACATATTAGACACGTATTTTTTTATTTTGTCGTGTAAGAAAACAATACTCAGATTAAAGGAATGAATACTCAGTTTAGGAGTGGGAGCTGGCTACGTCATTTTTGAGTATAAAACGTACACATAAGTGACGTCACGCGATATTTCAAATCATTATATCGCCGAAAGTATTTGTTTCCGTCGTATCTAATATTTTTAAACAATCTACCAGATGGACATATTAATCATTCACCCTATTCCAATATATGGTTCTAAATAATGTATGTTTTTTTACAGCCTCGCCACTTCCGTGCACGTCAGAAGTCATCGGACCTCAGGCGAATGAGTGTGGGCTCCGATGTTGGACAATTAAATCACAGCTTGCAGGTAACGACCATGCTAAATTATTGTTCGTGCAGATATTTGCTTAATGAATTTTAGACTTTTATCACAATGTCTTAAGGTTGAAAATCGTTTAACAGAACTTTGACACAGGTATCTTTTGCTAGTCTCTTTTAGTTAAAACTTTCCTTATAATCATTAGCTGTTTAAAGTTCACTTTTGACATACATATAACTCTTCTTGCTTTGTTTGTTCAAGGTAAGTTGTAACATACATGTCTTTTGGTTATAGAATAAAACGCCGGCTCCTACGACACAATCGCAGCTGAAGTCCGAGGCTGGGTCTGACAACGAAAGCAAGAGTGATGTTCCACATATCAAGTCGGAGGAAGGTATGTATTCATTTACGTAATACCAATACGATAGCTTTTGGTTTCTCATTGTAAATTAAAACTCAAACATATTTTGACCATGTATGACCTAGTTTTGTAGTGTGTTGTTAATTTTCTTATGTTTATAATTTTTTTAGTATGATTGATATATATATATTAACGGATATTTTTTAAAACTATCTCTTTCTTACCACATTTATGTCATGAGTAAACACGTGACTTAATTTGTACTTTTAGAAATAAAACGCGAGGAAGAAGGTAACCCAGGTCCAGAGGGCGAAGGTTGGGAGCCGCCAATAAAGAAGCGCCGCGCCAGTGACGAGGACGAGGCGCCCAAGAAACAGGCGCTCAGGGCCCATCTGGCGCTGCAGCTTACACATCACTCCGCTAAGGTATGTTATATTGAAATAAGACATTATTCTATTACAACACTGAAATATTATTTACGAAGCAGTTTTAGTTTGTGACTATTAAGCAATATTTAAGCAGGTTGAAATTTTTTTAAACACGCCTTTACACAAACTCCAGATGACTGCGCGTTCGTATGAAGTTAAATTCATAATGTAGCAAAAGCAATTACATTTTGTTTTGAACACTGTTATTGTCATCATGGAAAATTATTTCTTTACTCGTCATTAGGGACTATTATAAACTGAGGTTTAATATCTATGTGTTTTCTTAGATAATGAAGAAACCAATGTACCCGATCCGTCCGGCGCCGAGTATGGGCGTGGCGTGCAACCCGGCCGGGTCGCCGTGGCTGGACCGCGAGGCCATGCTGTGTGTCTTCGCCAAGCTCACGCCGCACGAACTCGCTACGTGCGCACTCGTCTGCAAGGCGTGGGCTGAGTACTCGGTAAGTACCATCAAGATTTTAAAACAATAATACCTATGTAAAACGTAAAAAAAATATAATACTCGTTTTTGTCAGTTATCACTCCTATGAAGCTCAGTTTTTGTTTTACATATTATAGTAATTCCAAACTCTGTAGTTCTGTACTATTCTCCTGAGAATTCAAAATTGAAAACTCGATAACAGAGTACCAGCTGGCGCCCGAGATGTCGACGGTCGCAACTTATCGTCGAATTAGTCAGAAAATATTGACATACGTTCTTAACTTTTTACCTTGTTATTTTCAGATGGATCCCTCGTTATGGCGCAGTATGTCATTCGTGCAAGTCCGTGTATCTGCCGCCCAGCTGGCTGGTATTGCTAGGAGACAACCGTTATCTCTGGGTCTTGAGTGGTGCCATCTAGCTAGGAGACAACTTGCATGGTAAGTCTACAATCGCTCTATACTACAACTAAGCTAATGTGCCACAGATTTTTGGTGATAGGAATGACTTCCACATTACTTATAAGTTTCACACCTTGGCAAGTTTAAGTATGTGACTATACTTACGTGTTTAACCCATTTGGGCCCGCCGTCCCCATATGGGGACAGGTTTTCTTTTACCCGCTGGTTATTAATTATTTTAGCTATCTTCACATTTCATGGATATTTAGAATGAGGAGTAGTGTAGTTTCCTAAAATTATTAGAACTTTTGACAAATTGCTACAAAAAAGGGGTCATATTGTCAATTTTATCATGAGGAAGTGAATTGGGAATTATTATTGAAAGCAGAGGCGTTTTGTAGTACGTTATTATGAAGATTTATAAAACTTTTTTGTGATTATTGCTCGCTTATAGTGTCAATTAAAACAATATTGAAGAATATCCTTGTACTTTCAATTCCGCTTAGGGGAAAGTTAGAAAAAATGATGGTGTCCCCGTATGGGGCCAATGGGCACATCTGTGGTATATTTTTAAAACATTTATACCTGATTTGTATTTTGTTTTCCAATTTATAAAGGTCACCTATAGGCTAAACTTAGTTATAGCTAATACTTGGTGACAACAGACGCTAATTTACGAAGAGCATCACCAATTCCGCCATATCTTTACGCGTTCATATTCTAAAATCTGATGGGCATCAAGACCGAAGATGCAAAAGTCCACCTACAGTACCAGGCGTCGCATCCGATATCAGAATTCAGAAGTAGGGGGCATTTCCTCCAGCTGTATTCTGGTGTCGTCACAGCGAAGTCCACCCAGAGGATAGAGTAGCATTCAGAGGATAGAGTAGCATTATGCCCTGTATACGTTGACCACCGCCGTGTCTTCAGGGAAGTGATCGACGACGATAATCTTCCACGTCCAGCTTAGGTTCTGGCTGTGGTGCGGAGCGAGGGGAACTGGAAAACATCTCTTTCTGCGAAGCAGTCATAGTAGCAAGAACAGATCGCCGCCCAGAACCAGACCTGTACCTGTAAGTTGCGTGGCGTTACGCGCGTGCTTCAAAGTGCAGATCAGGCCGCGTTAGATCGAGATGGCTCAGTGGGACAGATGCTCGACTACTATGAATAACCTAGTGGGTCACCGGGGCTTCGGCTTGAAGCAGAATTAGGAACGTGTTGGTTTTTAGCCAGTAAGAGTCCCCCAGGCGGAAAACGCAATGCATGATTTTTACCCTCAAAAAAAATATAGGCGCGTCACATCAAATTGATTTAGACATTTTCCGCAGAGATTTAGTTAATATCTGTTACGACACGCAGTTCGTCATAAAAAAACTGCGATATCAATGCAAATAATGCGGTAGAACTTTATGTGTCGAAAACAGTTACTACTTCGAAAAGTACTACACATGAGCCCATTGTCCCCAATCAAGGACGGCATTTTTTTTAATACTTCTAAAAATATTTTTTGAATTTTTTTTGCTGATATTAGTTTGTGGGCGTCATATCATTGAGTTAATAAAGTTTTTTTTATTAAATTATGTGTAGTTTGCATTTGGTCCCAAATGGGTTAATGTGTTTTGGTACAGGTTACTAGCCCGACTGCCAGCTTTGCGGTCGCTGTCGCTGGCCGGCTCCCCAGCCGAGGCCGCGCTGGCTCTACGGTCAGGTGCATGTCCACCACTATCAGCGTTGGACTTATCATTCGCGCGTGCACTGGACGACGCCAAGCTCCGCGGTATCCTGGCGCCGCCCGAGTCGTGTCGTCCGGGCGGGGACACGACCCGCGCTGAGCCTAGCCGTCTCGCTGCACTCGCAGTGCTACGTCTGCCCGGGACTGATATTACTGATGTCGCTATGCGATATGTTGTCCAGGTATGTTTATAACTAGTTGTAAAATATGGCGTAAATCTCCGAAAGCTAGTTATATTGATTTTGTGGCATTACGTTTCACCAGATATGAGTATAACAGAGGTTGGATTGTAAGCTACATTCAGTTTGATCACTTGGTTCTTATCAATGTAAAATCCTTTGCATTAGTAACGTTATGAGAGTACTAAGAAAGTGATAGGGAATGAGTTTCACATAGATAGAAGATGAGTTAAATGTGAATGGATGTAACATGATTACTTACAACATAAATGATTGTCCAGGCGCTCCCCCGGCTGGTGGAGCTGGACGCGTCGTCGTGCGCGCGGCTGACGGACGCGGGCGCGGCGCAGCTGGCGCACCACGGCCTGCAGCGGCTGTCGCTGGCTGGCTGCAGGCTGCTCACTGAGGCGGCGCTGGACCATCTGGCGCGCTGCCCCAACCTTGTCAGGTAAGGACTCACTTAATGTAACAAATAATCTTTTCTTTTTGACGAAATCATAATGATGTTGTTACTATGAATAAGGTAATAATGATATTCTTTTTGCTCGTCAGACTGGATCTCCGACATGTGCCTCTGGTATCAACGCAGGCAGTGATCAAGTTCGCAGCCAAGTCGAAGCACAACCTGCACGTGAAGGACGTCAAGCTGGTGGAGCTGCGGAAGACCTGATCCGAGGATACGCCGGCCTCGCCGCCGGACGACGCGACACAAGACGCGCCGCCCGACGCCTGAGCCAGGACACAGATCGTATGGTATCTACTACACATACACCTCGGTTACAAGCGACAACATTGTTCATATTTTAAGTTGCACATTCTAGTCTAGTTCTACATCATCGACCCTAGAAATAGCCCGCAATCGACCATTATCTTCTTTCATGACAGCTTCTCAAGTACTTAAACCCAATCGGCATTTATACCTAAGATTCGGTGTGATTGTTTCCCAACTTTGTTTATATAGGAACTCGTTATTACAGTGTGGAAAGTAAAGTATATTTTGATAAGTTTCTTGAACATTTTGTACTAGTTATCTCTCGCACAACATATCAAACTATGCTATCGACACACAGTTTCTACAATTTATGTAATGTAGATAGTTTACAAAGACTTGATGCCTACCCTGGTACTATTATTAACGTGATACGATTTCTGAATTAGGAAAAATATTGTTAGGAAAGTGATTTCGTTAGAAGAGTAATCAAAATTTAAATCTAAAGAAAATGTTCAAACGGATCCATTTAATTTTAATTTATATTCTGCTATACAATGACTCGTGCCAACATATAGTTTCTATATGACAAAGCACATTTATCATTGCACAATCAAATAAAGTATATTATAGTTATATGTATTAATTTTATTGCATGCTGTTGCATCGGTATTATATTTTATTGTTAGTTTTACGTTCGTAACTGTTTAAATAAAGACCGTCTGGACCACAAGAGGCTCCCGTTTTATAATAATGACTGAAAATTTTCAAATTATTATATTGAAACTTGTAAAATAGCATCTTGCAATATCATTCGCGACATTGAAGTGAAAATATATTTTTATTTACTTGTATTGTTACTGCTGTATAGGTATACAATGTAAATAATATGGTTTACAGCTATTATCAACGTGGTGTGTGATATTGCAGCCTAATACAGGATATTTATATACATATGTATAAATAACATTTCCCGTAATATTCTCCTTGTAAATAAAATTTTATTTATTAAACTGATTTTCCTGAAGAAAGCTTGAGTTTTAGTTCATGACAATTCAAAATTGCTTAGGTTGTACTTTTTAGTTCTAGTCCCTTTATAGGTGTAAGCTAAGTTCTGTGACAACGGTCGATTTATGTCAAAGTATTATGTGATGTGGACTGTGTGATTGGCCTTGAGATGTCCTGTGCAGAAGACAGGCTCGCGTTGGTCGCGCTGTCCTCTGCACAGACTGTCTAATGTCACATTGTCAATTGTCTTGCTGTTTCACTTATTATTCCACATGCTTGTACCCAAATAGTTTAGACGTGCGACTTACCTCGCAACCGGCCCCCACACATCCGTTACGGAATATCTCAAATATTCGCTCCAAAGAACTCCATTTTTTAATTTACTAACTTTAAATTATAAGGAAAGACAATATTGTAAAGATACAGTAATAGTAAATATTTACAGAGATTCTAATGGGCACCAAATGTAAAGAAATTGAAGATTTTATCATTATTTTAAATTAAAAAATGGGGTGACATAATCTGTTTACTTGCAGAGCCTGTACATATGAGGAACAGTTATGTCATACGTTAGTGTGTAAGAAACCGACTCTGGTCACAGTTAGCGAGGTCGGAGGGCCGCCTATAGTTCTAGTTTAGGAAATATAAATGACCTTATAGTGTAATGAATAAGAAAATTTGTGTACACACTTGTCAAATTTTATGAAGCGTACTGTCTCCCAGCCCCGACTGACTGGACATGACCGTATATAAGTATGGGCGTAAAGTTGAGTGAAATTTGACGAGTGTTACAACTTCACGGACTGTACATTTGTTAGTGTAAGTTTGTTATCGAGTAACATTTTTACTTGGAACCGTAAGCTCTATAAGACCGAGCTAGATTCTAAGCATTGTGTGCCTCTGTTATAGACAATTAGCTATAGAAAAAAGAAATTGTTTATAAAGAATTATACTTGTGACATCTATGTTCGACGAAATTTACAGATTTAGGACAAAAAAAAAACAAATTAATGAGTGATTTTTGAGCGTTAATTATAAGATAGATATTATTTAGTTTTGTAAGCTGCCTTTATGCGAGAGTTGATCAATATGGGATAGCATTTTTATATTTCTCGCATGGGCATTGTCGTTGGCAGTTTCGGTGATATTACATGCCAATGGCTAGGTTTATGTATAGCGATATTACGCGACCTGTCGCGTTCACGGAAAGTAACATTGTATCATTGGTTACCATAAGTATAAAATAATATTGGAAATTAATATTTACAATGAAGTATTTTGTGTTTTATTTTCTTAGTTTTATTAAACCCTGATCCAGTCGTTTCATATAACTTGAAAAAGATACAAGAACAAGATTGAAGACATTAAATGAGAATGATTATTCTTACAAACATGCATTAATGTGACAAAAACTAAATAAATTACAAAACAATAAAGGCATAACTGGCGTAAGCTTATACAAGTTACTCTTGAAAGAAAATTATATTTACCTACAACTAATGAGTGACAAGATGAAATAAAATGTGACTCAGGTGCGGGTGTCCACGGGCGGTGCTGATCGCTTACCATCAAGTGATTGATCCGTCTGCTTATTGCCACCTACCTATTCCATAAAAAAACTAAAGTGAAGTTGGAAATATGCACGAGCTTCACACCGTTCAATAAATACGAGATAAACAGACTGATAATGATAGCAATGATTTAGTTTCCGGTAGTCACCGCTAGAGGGCGATATTTTAAATTCGCAATTAGGTACCTACGTAGGCTCAAGTTCTCTCTGGGGCTGCGGTCTGTCTTAAATGAAACTTGATCCATCTGTGTATGGGTATCATGGGCTGTGGTCATTGTCAGCCAAACAAGTCATAGGGTAAATTAATTAAGAATCAGCACCTCTCTATTTGTAATACGTGCATACATAATAACATTTTTCAATACTTAATACACGTAAACGATTGTTAGCAATACGCACAATTTTTCAGAGAACTTTGATTACGTACACTTGGCGTGCGGATGCTTTCGATTTAGACTAGTAACATCAACGTGAATTGGTTGATGATTCATAGCAGTTTGGAAGGAAGTTGGGGTGGATTCCTAAACACCTATGCTAGTGACGTAGCGTGCCTTTGTGGGGACTTGTATCCCCGAATCCCGTCCCTATATTCCTCAAATTCCTAATTTATAGTGTGTCAACCTTTGAATGTATGCTTTGCATGCAGGCGGGAAAAAATCGTTTATTTTGACTTTATGTGATTATTGAAATAAAATAAAAATTGGGAAGTTTTTATTACCTAATTTTTGTTTACGCACGTTGGGTGTCCCCGTAACTCGGGGGCCTCGTACAAATGATATGACGCTAGCTAAGTAGCTACGCCCCTGACCTATGCGTAACTTGAAATTTACCTGGGATCTGGGACACCCACTGTCCTATATGCGAATCGTGCGACAGTCCACAGTACTACCACAGAATAAGGAACTGTTGGAGTCGTGCTTGTGACGATTCGACCTGTCAATAAAAAAAACATCCATTATCAACTTAAATCTATAATGTAATAAATCCAAAATACCGGTTTACCAAAATGAAAACCTTTCTGTCTACAGATATTTTAGGTATCCACAAAGAAAACATGATACCAAGTTGATAGTTATTTACTACGACTATCTTAACAAAGAAGCTTATATACCCACGCAGCTAAGTAGATACGAAGGTAGGTACTTACGTAGGTACCTACTTATTTCTATTTCAACACGCACTCCCCTCTTATAAAATACGAGAGGCGTCGAGATTAGTCCAGAATCCAATTACATTTTCCAAATTTCCCATTTTTCCCTCGCCGCGGGTTCAAAGCTCACGGAAAATTATTTTCTTCGCTCCCTAAGAAATGAAAAATAAACGTGGTACGGGAGGAGCGTCTCAGGGAAAGGCCTTAAAGCAATCAGTGCGAGAGAGGGAAATAAAAGATCGGAAAATACTGTGGAGCGAAAGAGATGCAAGGTTTGTATTCGGACGCCCGCGGGGATTTGTCAAATACGAAGAGAACGCTTTTTTGTGTTTTTATTTTTCAAGGCGAGAGGTTGTGACTTCAATTGCAAATGAACCTGCGCTGAAGTGCAAACTTGGCTCGAGGGCGCTTGTAAACATATTTTTTTGCAAAATCTGGGTCAATTTTAAATCCAATTTAGAAATGGTGCTTTCAGCATGAAAAAGAAAGTTTCCTTAATACTTACATAAGTAGGTACCTACCTGCAGAAAATACCTTAGAGGTATTATAAAAGTTTGATAAGACGCTTGAACGTTCAGCTATTTTGGTAGTAGAAAGTAGTTATATACACACCTACCTCAATGATATTATAAATAATAAAATGAGGCACCTACCTACTAACGGTTTGCGATTACCTGATAAGTACCTACCTACTTATACGTTGACCAGGATCAGGGTCAAATTTCCAAATGAAGTATCTGCGTATTAAGTTCTTAGGTACAAAGTATTTTGTAATAAAAAGTTTTATTATGGACCTTCGCCCTTTACAATTAAGTGCAAAAATGGTTATATAAGCCTAATAATGGGCCGGCTCGACCGAAGTGATACCACGGCCTCACAGAAAACCGACGTGAAGCAACGCTTGCGTTGCATTTCGTAGTGTGAGTGAGGATACCTGAAGCCTAATTACCCTCCCCTTACCCAATCTCCCCAATCCCTGAATCCCCAACGATCCTCAAACTCCTAATCCACTAAACGCCGACAACGCACTTGTAACGCTTCTGGTGTTCCAGGTGTCCAAGGGCGACGCCGATTGCTTACCACATCAGGTGATCCGACTGCTCGTTTACCGGCTTATACCATACAAAAAATAAAAAACATAAAATGAAACAAATGCTAAGTATTACAGCAACTAATTAAATATTTGTGAAAAATAATAACTACCATCTAAAATATTTCCACATCTCCCATGGACTGACACTTGTGTCCAATTTCTAAATAACTACTCAAGCAAGGCATGAACAACACTGACAGATGGTGAGACGATTTAGTTTACACCCCTCCAGCAATTGGCCGCAATAGAAACTGCATTACATACTTGTTGGCAGACATAATGCTTTGGTTTTATAGCTGTAGTGTACAGGGGCTGGTCCTGCGAACTTTGTCATCAATTTGCATTTTTATTGTTCGCGGTTATGATTGGGAAGTGATCGTCATTATTGTTTATTCGTGTAGTGTTGTGGATACAAATGATAAGTCTGTATTAGTTTCTAGTTTGGTGCATTATCAACAAAGTTGTTTAACCACGAAGTGTCCTAGTGTTGCCACAATATGGAATAATACAAGGTACTTGCAAAAACTTCGTCCCTATGCCTATAGCCTACCGCTTTTGGGCATTATAGGCGTTATGTTATAAAGAGTTTAATGTTTGTTCCATTTATTAATAGTATCCAGCTGATTGATACTGAATTTCTGACTCAAAGAGTATAATAAGTATAGGGGATTTCTGACTTAACAAAATTAAAAACCCTAATGGAAATATATTTTTGATAAGTATCCGTGGTATAGTCTACGGTCATAGCATAGTCTATGGTGATAGTTTATCTAATACCCATCACGCTATCGCAGTCATAACAATCTCAGCAAAATGGTCTACAATACTTCGCATCGCAATTTATCGGGTCGATGTGGGTTCAAATGCATATTGCCAACTACACAATCAGTAGTCATGACACATGTCTAGCTGACTAAGTAGACAGGTACTTACATAGGTACATGCAAGATAGATTTTCTAAGTAATCTTGTATCGCGGAGGGTTGATATCGATCGGCGGCCGCACGCTACGCTAACCACTGATTCGCGCGCCGCTGACGTTGACGTGCGCCTGCCAACTGCCTTGTGTACTGTCGTGAAGGTGCTACTAGCGTTAGCAGATTCAACAGAATTATGTTTTATTTTCTAATATAGGTAGTTTTAATTTGGAAGGAACTAAGTGGGCTGCACAATTGTATTGCTGAGCAACGTGTTACGCGCTCAATACCCGCACAGGAGAACTTTTATGTGATCCACAACTTGGTGTTCGGAGTCTGGGTGTAATGTGCATGTGATTTAGTAAGTATATTTGTAAACGCACCCACGACACGGGAGAAAATCCTAGTGTGAGGCAACCATTAAAATCACCTGACTGCCTAGTAAATCGAATGGTTTCAAATACGACTGCGCTGGTGCTGAACAATGTATTTCAGGTATGTATGTGATTGATGTGAAAAGTGAAGAATTTCTTTTGAAGTGTTGTGGGTATCCGTGGACGGCACAGGGTGCTTACTCTTGAAACCAATCTCAATGTCAATGCAATTTCAATACAATAAAATCTCAATAATTATTCAATGCCAATACTATACAACCACAATCGTAGCCGTTAAAATAGCATTCATAGTACGGACTATAAAGCCAAACTCAATATCATTTGGTTCATTCAATATCCGTGCAATACGGATGCAATGGGCGCTAGTATTGCAACTCAAGAGTACAAAATTTCACAATACCAATGTCGATCGATCGGAATTGGATTCAAGAGTAAGCCCCTGATCAGTTACCAACAGGTGATACGTCTGTAACTCTACAGCCCTATTGGAAATTGTAATAATTTCATATTTTTAATTTCTCACTTATTTGTCTGCTATCCGTCCTAAGGCCGGGGTTACACTGAGTGGCGTGCACGCGACATGTCGACCGCGTCTGCCAGCACGCACCGTTCGACGAAACCTGTGGTAACAGACCTAGCTGAATAAATAACACGAACACTAGTGTTATTGGTAATGTAATTTACTGATCCTATTACAATTTAGGTGGTTTGATTGATTTACTAAGTGCCGATGGCTTGATGACCTATATAAACTATTGAAAATTATTTGTTACGTTTCTAGCAGAAATTAGAAGCCATTTGGCTCATCTTTATCTGTATTGACGGTTAATGTATCACAGCTTATGGTTGTAAATCTGGTAGTCCCTACGAAGCGACGCTCGACATAACATAACATCTAACATCACGCCTTTTTATCCCCGAAGAGGTAGATAGAGGTGCACAATACTTCACTTAATACCACTGTATAATGTAACACCCACTTTTCACTATCTATGCTATGAGTCCTATGTAACAGGGGTAAGCCTATTGTCATATACCGGGCACAATTCCAGAGTCCGTGCTACTACTGAGATTTTTTTAAAAATACCCAATAATACTTTGCCCGACCCGAGAATCGAACCCGATAATCGGCCAACTTAATGTTCGAATAAATTCAAATTTAGCATCTTGGGTTCCCTATACGATTTTTTTAAAGGGGGGAAAATCAACGAATTACTGCTCCCGCCCGGGTGAGGCGGGAGAAAGTGTCAGACTCTTACTGACTAAAAACCACCCCGTTCCTTCTCCTGCACGTCGAGCCGGAGCTCCCTATACGATAAGGTCAAATACAGACTAAAAATACATTTCATTAGGTGTTACCCTACGAGTAATTTGAAATTACCCTGAAACCAGTCGATTAGGCAAAATCATTCGTCAAGACTGAAGGCAACGTAATAAAAGTTCAGTGGTAGTGAATGAGAATGAATGATAAGAACGAATGGAGGTGAGTGCTGTAATCGCTACATGTGTCTTGCGCGCGTGATAGATGTGGCGACAGAATTATAACATATTACTGCGTTAGCGAATGCTGAGGGTGCGACATTCGAGATTAGAAATAAAGATTTGGAATACAGTTTCTGATTTTTTTATATTCGTGGTGTTGGCTGTAGTAAGTTGGCTTGAGTGTACTGGTTTCGTAATTCATAAATGTTATAAATGCTAGATAATAGGGTAGATGCTTAATTTTTATTTTAATGTCCGTCTGGTAGATTATGTTAAATCATTAGACACGTATTTATTATTTTCTTACAAAAACGAATGTTTTTGACGATATATTGATTTGAAATGTCACTTCTATATACATTTTATGTAGAAATGACGTTTTAGCCCCCACTCTTAAATTTTGATTCGGTTTTATTAAGTATACGACAAAATAAAAAAATACGTGTCTATTATAATATTTTTTAATTACCTAACTTACGGACTAATTAGATTTTTAATTTTCATATTCTGTCATCATCCCATTTCTCTCACTTATCAATCATCCTGATTCCATTAGCCCTGAATTTATTAAGAAGGTAAGGGTTCTACCAAAAAATGCTCGGACCTCACCTATAAATAAAAAAAAAATTGTGGTGTTGTGGTGCTCTAATAGCTAGACTGCGTGCTGATAGGGTAAGTGCAATACTTTTTTATATGCGTTTGTAATTAGGTGTACTTGTATAAAAGAAGTATGTAATATAAATTGAGGTCACGACATTTCTAAATCAAAATAATATTATTTCGAACCAACCACAAATAGTCAAAAGATCGCACATCAATCGTCCGCATAACTTATAACCGGGTGTTAGTAGCTCGGAGCCGGGTATTCCCTGAAGTTATTATGGCCCACTGAACCGGGTAACGAACAGCTCCCCCCTTACCCCTTATCCCCTTGCCCCGTAAGCGAACACTTCGTTGTAATAATACACCCTTTATCATAAGAGCGCGCCCATGAGTAAATATTGCGAAATTTTCATTGGAAAATATGCTGCTAAGGTACCTATTTATCTGTTAATGGTTGAAACAGGAAGTCAGAAGGAATCCATTCAAATGTATTTGATTTAGTCAATGAGTTGAAAGTTAGAGATTGTTGTGTTATGCTGGTGAAACAATTCAATTAATTTTAATTAGGGATTATTTAAACTAAACTGGGAATAAAAATTCTGTAAGTATGTATTGAAAAAGTAGACTTACCTACGAATTTGATATCTACTAGTTCGCCTAAAATCGGCAAATTACAGGGTAAAGTACTTAAAGATTTTAGATCGAACAAATACTTGACAAAATGGTCGATTGGCAGCATATTATGTAGGTAAGTAATCTGGTTTTATTGATTGACATTCAAAAGTGCTTTTTCATTTTGAGAATCATACCCATGCACCAACCATACGCACGAAGCGCTCCGCACCAAGCTTCCTTGTGCATACAGCTCTAAGAAGTGGAATTCTTTGCCAGAGTCTGTATGTCCTAAAGGGTATAACCTAGGTGTCTTTAAGGCCCGATTGAATAGGTTGCTTGTGGGACAACGTCCTTCACTATAGACCGCATCATCGCTTACCACCAGGCGAAGTAGTGGTCAAACGTCAGCCCATGAAATATATAAAAAAAAACGATCTTTTCTATTCTTTTTTGGTCACAATCCGCCGTACGATACCTTGACCAACTCCGTTTAAAAACAGCCAAATAAATAAATCAAACTAATTTCCATAGCTAACGCGTGCTGTCACAACATTTGTCTACAATACCATGGCGAGGTGTCATCTGTCAGAGGGTTGTCACCCTCCAATAGTTTGCTAACAAGCCTAGGTGGCGCTGATGTCCCAGGCGATTTGGTCACGTCATGTTTTAACACATTTTAATGTATAATGTGTAAATATTAATTGTGTACGTTTGTCTGTGGTTTGTTAATTATGGCTTTGATTTATTATAAGGTGATGTTTAAAATGAAGATTACTAAAATGTAAATATACAACAGTATATTTACATTTTAGTAATCTATATTTTTATCTTGCAACGAAACTAATTTAGATCAAAGTTGACTAAATTATTGACACAGATTAACTCCTTATTACTTGAGTGTCATAACATAATTAGTGACCAGCGGGTGAAAGTGAATAAAGTGTTTTATTATATAGATTTGTGTAAGTAAGTACACCTACGCATACCTACCCCTTCGGGGATTGTAAGGCGTGAAGTTTCTTAACGTTTTTATTACAAATTTTACATTTTATATTATGAATATAATGCAATATTTCATCGTTTCCATACACATATTAAAAGTAAATAAGCGAAATTGAGGCTTATCCAGGCTTTATTTAAACAAATATCTTTCGGATTTCGCTTATAATTACATATTATTCTGCTGAACCTTATTATGTGGTAGAATGCATTGTCCCCGAGTCGCGGCTATCGCGGGCACATAATGAAATGAGTGCAATATGCGTCCTAAAGTCCCGCGAGACTGGACGTTCAGCCATGATGCAAAGAGGATGTGGTATTAAAGTTAAATACGTTTTTTGTACTTCTTTACCTAAATGGGCAAATGTAGCACATCAACATTTTAAAAGTAAGTTAAGTAGGCCGATATTATTCTTATAAACTGCTTCATGGAATGATCGAAAGTTTATTTTCAACTTGGGGTTTAATAAGATTTTGGCGATTGCAATCGTTATCTACACATCGTTTTTGGCTACAGGATTACACTGTATTATACTCGTAAGTAAGGACTGGGAGTGTGTTAAATATGGAAGTATCCACTAAAATGGCAAGAATGCTTGAAACTGTCGTAGCAACGAGCTAAATCACGGAGGAGTGGAAACTATCTACTTACTTACCTAGTACATGTATATAGATAGATTGCGATATACACTTATTGTAATTATTTGTCTAATGCCGTATCTATCCGACAGTAATTTCTCTTTGTAACTCCAGTTACCGCTCAGCTCAGGTCTCCAGGGAGCACGCCCCCGAGCGCCATCTATCCTGATTTATTTGCTCTCCCTCGACTCTCCACCACTATCAATGGGTTTCTATATTTCCAGTATATTTACGCTTGAAATCAGCTATACCATCCGGTTTACATTGACCTTCCACTCACACCACCTTCTTCAATATGAAGGGGTCAGCTTATATTGGTGGTGTATTTTGATCTGCAGTGCTTGTAAGCAAGTGTTTGCGCCTCGGTGTCGTCTGTTTGTTTTACATTTGTTTTTAACACTGTTTACCGACACTGTTTGAAGGTACTTTCAACTGTCATTGTCTGTTGAGTGGATGGAATTTTAGAATTTAACTGAGGTTTATAGTGGTATCTAGTGTTGTATGGTATCTACCTAGTGTCGATTATTGTAGAGTAGAGTGAAATTAATAAATGCTCTGAATCCAAAATTTCCGGATCGATCTATATTTTTGATAGAAGTTACATACAACTTGTGTTAAAAATTGTTATCAATAAAAAAAATTGATTGAGGTCGGCTACATATAAATTTTAACCCAAAAATCGCATACTATGCGTTTACGAGATCAGGCAGTTCTTTATATTTGGTAGGCCAACGTTTGACCACTATATAGGCCTGGTGGTTAGTATAGTTATATATAATTAGTCGCGGAGAACCTAACGGGCTAACCCCGAGCCGGAGCCCCGGCTCCGGCTCGACGTGCAGGAGAAGGAACGGGGTGGTTTTTAGTCAGTAAGAGTCTGACATTCCTTCCCGCCTCACCCAGGCGGGAGCAGACATTCGATGACTTTTTCCCCTTAAAAAAAAGTATAGTTATAGTTAGTTCCCCAGTATGATATACTAGAACCATTGAGGTTCTTAACACACTTGTAAGCGTGGAGATTTTGGCTAACCCCTACTCCCTAGAGGTAGTCTATAGTCTACCAATGTAGAGGTAGTCCATAGTCCAGTACTACCAATGAACTATCGTGGATTGTTGATGTGATGTGAGTGTAATTAAATTAAATGCTGTTGTAATAATCCATGTTAACATTGATTACGAGACATCTTCACATCTCAGTCGGCTAAATGCCAGGATAGCTATTTAATTAAAAACTAGTTATAAAGTAGAATTTCTTATTCATAGACAACAGGATATACAAGTTGCTCT